TATAATGAAGATCCCCTCTTGTCCGCCTTCAACCCCCTTCAGAACGGCGAGACTACCTCCGTTGTCACTAGCTCCTCAGTCCTGATTACCGCCGTCCCTCACCTTTACCGCCTCGCGAACAGCCCCGTGGTCATCCACGTTGCTCTGGAGCCCTCTCCATTCCCCGACTACTCCGTGATCAGCTCTATCCGCCAGTCCGGTTTCACATTCCTCCACTCAGAGACCGTGCAAGAAGCCCAGGATATCGCTATCACAGCTCATGCGCTCGCACGCAAGTCCGGAAAGGGTGTTATCCACTTTTTTGACCCCTCCAACTCGGCCAAGGACCCCTCTATTCCCCAGGAGGACATTGAAGTCGTGAAGAAGGTTCTCAACGTTGGTGGAAATGATGCCACCTCTACTGGAGCTCAGACTCTTTACGCCGACTCCGGTCGTGTGGCTACTGTCACTGAAGAGACCGTTGGTATCTCACCCTCTGGCCAGCCCGAGTCAACAAACTTGGCTGTGCCCTCTCAACCTCAAACTCCTTTCAACGCTAGCGTTGACAACTCATCAGTTGGATCCTCGCGCAGAGATAGCAGTGCTGGCAGTGAAGCTCCCAGCTCGACCGCAACAACTGTAGACAGCGCCACCACCCGGCCTGTTAACGCGGGCGATATCTTCGAATGGACAGCTCAGATTTGGAACACTCTGTTCGAGGAAGTGGGCCGCAGATACAACGCCATTGAGTACACCGGTGTTGCTGATGCTAAGTCTGCTATCTTCGTCTTTGGCTCTACCGGAGTCTTCGTGGATGCTCTTGCTAACGCCGGTGCCAACCCGGAGTTGGAAAACATTGGCTTGATCACTGCTCGCTTGTACCGCCCCTGGGTCGGCTCCCAGATTTCAAACTCTATCCCTAGCTCTGTTGAAAAGATCGCTGTTCTCGAGCAGGTTCGCAAGACAACCCGATGGGGTCCCTCTTTCATGGACCTGTTGTCCAGCTTGACTCCCTCTGGCGCCCGTGCTCAGGCTCCTCAAATTGTCGGGTACCGTCTTGGATTTATTGAGCCCTCTACCGCTGTCCAGGCCCTTCGTGGTGTCTTGCAGAACCTAAACTCCGCTTCTCCCATCCAGAACCTTGACATTGGAAGCTCTCAGGTTCCTACTATTCAAGCCACTCTCGAGCAGCCTCGCATTGAGAATGCATACTTGAAGATCTTGAATCAGCTCTTTGGTGAGCGTCTCCACATTGCCAACCAGCTTGGATCCAATAACGCTGGTGTTTCAAGCACTATTGCTGCAAGCCCCGAGTTTGGATTTGGTTCGCTACTGGCTCGCCAGGAGCACCGCCAGCGCTTCATCCGGGAGGTTGAAGAAGCCACTAAGTCTAACTCCTTTGCTACTGACGTTCCCAAGACTTGGTTGTCTCACTGGGCTCTGAGTGTGAAGGAAGCCGCCAAGGCTAACAAGCTGGCTCCTGATGTGATTAGTCGCCTCTCCACCGATGGCTCCGCAATTTCCCGCCAACTCCTCCAGTCCAAGCAGTTCTTCTACGAGGAGTCTGACTGGCTCATCGGCTCCGATGCCTGGGCTTACGATTTCGGCAACTCCGGTGTTCATCACGTTCTCGCATCTGGTGCGAACGTGAACATGCTCATCATCGACTCTCAGCCCTTCTCCGAGCGTGCTGCATCCGACGCCACTCGCCGCAAGAAGGATATTGGTCTCTATGCCATGAACAGAGGTAACGCATATGTCGCCTCGGTCGCTGTCTACAGCTCGTACACCCAGGTTCTTCAGGCCATGTCCGAGGCCCAGCAGTTCAAGGGTCCCTCCGTTGTTGTGGCATACCTGCCTTACAACAAGGAGAACGACTCGGCCCTCACAGTGCTGCAGGAGACCAAGAAGGCCATCGATCTCGGCTACTGGCCCCTGTACCGCTGGAACCCCGACAACGAGGAGAAGGGCGAGCCCAAGTTCTCCCTTGACTCTGAGCGCATCAAGCGTGATCTTGAGGAGTTCCTCCGCCGGGACAACCAGCTCACCCAGCTCATGAACCGCCACCCCAAGTACGCCCCTGTGCTCTCTGAGTCTTATGGCACTGAGGTTCGTGCTTTGCAGAAGAGAAACGCCAAGGACTCCTACGAGAAGCTCTTGGATGGTCTGTTCGGTGCTCCTCTCACCATTCTCTTTGCATCTGACGGTGGCAATGCTCAGAACATTGCTAAGCGTCTTGGGAACCGTGGTCGCGCTAGAGGCCTGAAGACCATGGTTATGGCTATGGATGAGTTCCCTCTCGAGGACTTGCCCACTGAGGAGAACGTGGTCTTCATCAGCAGTACTGCAGGCCAGGGTGAATTCCCTGTGAACGGTCGTAGTCTCTGGGAGCATGTCAAGAACACCGGTGATCTCGACCTGTCCACCATCAACTATTCCGTTTTCGGTCTTGGTGACAGCCACTATTGGCCCCGCAAGGAGGATAAGATCTACTACAACAAGCCTGGCAAGGATCTTGATGATCGTGTTGCTTTCTTGGGTGGTCGTAGGCTCACTGAGATTGGTCTCGGTGATGACCAAGACCCAGATGCCTACCAGACCGGGTACTCCGAATGGGAGCCCCGCCTCTGGAAGTCTCTGGGTGTCGATAAGGTCGAAGGTCTGCCTGAGGAACCTGCCCCGATCACCAACGAGGATATTAAGGTCGGCTCTAACTTCCTTCGCGGCACTATCGCCGAGGCTCTTCTGGATGAGAGCACTGGATCTATCCCCGCTAGTGACCAGCAGCTGACCAAGTTCCACGGTACATACATGCAAGATGACCGTGATCTCCGTGATGAACGCAAGGCCCAGGGTCTTGAGCCTGCCTACAGCTTCATGATTCGCTGCCGTCTCGCCGGTGGTGTTGCCACCCCCAAGCAGTGGCTGCAGATGGATGCCATCAGTAGCTCACACGGTAACGAGACCATGAAGCTCACTACCCGACAGACCTTCCAGTTCCACGGTGTTATCAAGCGCAACCTTCGCGGTGCTATGCGTGCCATCAATAACTCTATGATGGACACACTCGCTGCTTGCGGTGATGTGAACCGTAACGTTATGTGCAGTTCTCTCCCCGAGCTGTCTTCTTTCCACCGTGAGACCTGGGCCATCTCTTCTAAGATCAGTGAACACCTGCTGCCCTCGACCTCTGCCTACCACGAGATTTGGCTCAAGGATGACAATGACAAGAAGGTTCAGGTTGCTGGAGATGCCATCGTTGACCACGAACCCATCTACGGTCCTACCTACCTTCCCCGCAAGTTCAAGATCACCATTGCCATTCCTCCTCACAATGACACTGATGTCTACGCCCACGACATCGGTCTGATTGCCATCAAGGGTGCCGACGGCCACCTCGAAGGCTTCAACGTTCTGGCTGGTGGTGGCATGGGTTCCACTCACAACAACACCAAGACCTACCCCCAGACTGGTCGCATGTTCGGATACGTTCCCGCCGACAAGGTCCACCTTGTCTGTGAGAAGATCATGCTCGTGCAGCGTGACAACGGTGACCGCAAGAACCGCAAGCACGCCCGTATGAAGTACACCATCGACGATATGGGTGTTGACGTTTTCCGTGGCGAGGTCGAGAAGCTTCTTCCTGATGGCCTCAAGTTTGGCGAGCCCCGTCCCTTTGAGTTCAAGTCCAACGTCGACACCTTCGGCTGGATTAAGGATGACACTGGTCTTAACCACTTCACCTTCTTCATTGAGAACGGTCGTATTGAGGATTCTGCCGATTTCAAGATGCGCACTGGTCTTCGCGAGCTTGCTGAGATGGGCAAGGGCGAGTTCCGTCTCACCGGTAACCAGCACCTAATGATCTCTCGCATTGCCGATGAAGACCTCCCCGCCATCAAGGAGCACATGGCTAAGTACAAGCTTGACAACACTGCTTTCTCTGGCTTGCGTCTGTCTTCCTCGGCTTGTGTTGCCTTCCCTACCTGTGGACTGGCCATGGCTGAGTCTGAGCGCTACCTCCCCGTTCTGATCACCAAGCTCGAGTCTACCCTTGAGGAGTGTGGTCTTGCTCGTGACAGCATCGTCATGCGTATGACTGGTTGCCCCAACGGTTGTGCTCGGCCCTGGCTTGCCGAGGTCGCCTTCGTCGGAAAGGCCTTCGGTGCATACAATATGTACCTGGGCGGTGGCTACCACGGCCAGCGCCTGAACAAGCGCTACCGCTCTTCCATCAAGGAGGACGAGATCCTTGACATTATGAAGGACCTCCTCAAGCGCTACTCCCTTGAGCGCGATACTGACGGCGAGACCCCTGAGCGTTTCGGTGATTGGTGTATCCGTGCTGGTGTGATCAAGGCCACCACTGATGGAAAGAACTTCCACGATGGCGTAAGTGATCTCTTCTACCTATGGTATCCACCCTATTGATTCTAATTATTTTCTACAGGTTGCCGAAGACGAGGAAGAAGAAGAGTAAATGCTGAACACAGCAGTTACACATAAAATCTCCGATCTTTTACGACTCTCATGGGATCTCCTTTCTAATTGTTGGATATTCTCACGTCTGTATCTCACGTCGCAATGCATTGATGTCTTGGCGGTTGTATGATTTCATGCAAAAAATGTTAGATTTTGTCCTTGTTTTCTCTTTTATTCCCTTTCTTCATGTGGATTTCAATGATAGCCCAAGTCTGCTCGTACATAGTATATACTCAAATGATATCATTTTCCTGTGACATGCAGTGGAATCACCTTAGGATTACTTGAACATAGGACGTAGGGTATGTACCTATGTACCTAGGTATTCTTACCCCATGGGTATCTTAAGGTGGCAGGAACCCAACCGTGGAAGCAGGTCAGGGGGGCGCTGCAGCTGATGCACACCTGACATCACCTGCGACCACCTGGGGACCTCTTTGGCCTCAACCTTCCTAGGAAACTCCTATGTTGACTCGACTTCATCACTTCTTAACACTTTCGTTAATTCCCATTTCAACCAACTTAATAGGTTGATCAAGATGAACTCGATTCTATCAGCGCCTTTCGCGCCACTGCTCTATCTACGCCCTCGGTTTCGTCAAGACCGGGACTGGTCTTATCGACAGGCACTGGCAAATACTTTTATGAAAGTGTTTCTACGCATTTTCGTGGCATTTCACACCAAACCACCACTTTCTCTCAAGCCAGGTTTAGATGGAGACCGATTCGTTGCGATAGAGCCTGCACCACCAGAGCTCTACACCAGCATCACAGTAGATGATGAGATCCAGCCAGTGACAGTCGGAGGCACCTGGTTTCCATCACTCTACCAATACAACACAACAACCACCCAAGACAAGCACGTCGTGCTTCACTTCCATGGCGGCTCCTACATCCTCGGCGACGGCCGCACATCCTCTTGCAAGTTCCTCGCCAACAGTTTGCTACAGCATACACCGACCAGCCACGTCTTCAGCCTCCAGTACCGTCTGGCTTGCAACCCTAATGGCCGTTTCCCCGCTCAGCTCCAAGATGCTATCTCCGCCTACTCATACCTACTCCACACCCTGCACATCCCGGCATCTCGCATCGTCCTAAGTGGCGACAGTGCAGGTGGCCACCTTGCCCTCGCCCTCCTGCGTTACATCGGCGACTATGATGACGAGAAGGTCCTTCCCCCACCAACGTGCTCGTGGCTTTTCTCGCCCTGGTGCGATGTCCCCGGCTCCCGCAGCGAACATCTCTGGGATAACATTCCCAACAAGAAGACGGACTATATCCCGCCCTCGTTCCCTGCGTGGGGAGCGAAGCATCTAATCGGTAACCTACAGATGACTCCCGAGTACGAGCCGTACCTCGCGCCGATCTGGAATCCCTTTATCCTTCCTTCGCCTGTTTTGATTGTGTCAGGTGGCAGGGAGGTTATGTGTCAGGAACATGATCGGTTGGCGAGGCATTTGAGTAAAATGCAGCAGAATGAAGGTCGAGTAGAGTATTTTGTGCAGGATCTTTTGCCGCATGATGTGCTTATGGTTGCTTGGATTCTGAATTTTCGAAAAGAGGCTGATCAGTGTGCTGCTATGGCTGGGACTTTCTTGACGAGAATGCAGGCTATCTCGGAGGCGGAGGGTACTCAGGTTCCTTCTGTGGCTTTTGTATCACGATGATGTTGCTATGTATGCCCTTTGAGAGCTCCATATTGCTACCTATGTATTGAGTTGAACTTTCTGAACTTGTTCTGCCCCGGAGAACCACTTGTGAGACTCTACGGATTCTTTTTGGCCTATTAGAGAGGCCTTTCGGTGGCCAATTTTATCATTTCGGCTCTATTTTTCTATTTCATCTTCAACAGATTTTGTTTGGTCAAAACAACCAGCAGATACCGCCTTCCATAAATTCTGGTTTCAAGTTGCAGTGATTTGTTTGTTAGTGACTAGGCAGTCTCCAGCTACTTCAGACATTAATCTCATTCAGCTCCCGATCTTTCTTTCCTCTTCCAGTCTCTTTTCTCTCAACTAAGATCCTTGTACCAACCTCAACTTACAACCTGCACCGAGGTTCCCATTCTCGATAAGATCGCATTCAACTCTGATACAAAGTCGTTGGCCATTATCTAACTCCATTTCCGTGCCCTCTCAGTTTGTTGACACGTTGAGAACACCGTGAAAGTCTCTGCGAATCTGAAGACGCATACGTCCATATCACCACTGGGCACTCGTCTACACACTGTCGCGGCCGAAAATGGCGCCCATCCCAGGAATTCGCGAAGCAGCTCGCTTTGAGAACCATTACAGCATAGACTGGACAGATTACGCAGCTGACATGCATACTAGCTACAAGCTGGCAAACATCTCTCGCGAGCTTCATGATAAGTGGATGGTCATTGCCAGCGTTCTTTTTGCGATCATTGTGGTGGGCATCATCGCCCACTTTTGCTTTTGGGGAAGACACAGGTATGTGATGAATACCCTATTTGTGATTGATTGCGCGGGGTACTGATTTGAGTTGGCCATGCAGGTATCCGCGGCAAACTACATCTACCGAGGATGAGATGAAGACGGAGGACGCTGAGTATCTGGATATGGTTGGGGAACCCCGCTCAGGTATGTTGAGACATACATGTCTTGTTGTGTCCCTGGCTCACTATCTATATATAGATGGCTGGGTGTGTTTCATTCTGGCCTGCCACGCTGTCATTACCCTTGGTGTTGTCTGATGCAGAGGAACATGTATAGCTGTTGGAGAACAACATAGTCAGACGAATTCCCCCTGTTCTCTGCCTGGATAACGATTCTCCGTGGAATTGCAAGTCCGGTGCATGTGATCTGAGCTTGACGTGACGATTTATTTATGAGATGCATAACGTCGATTCGAGCGTTTAGGAATGTTTTATTTTGATGCCTAGGGCAAACAGCCCGTTCAACACAAACCAAATGAAGAAATGGATGTGCAGTCTAAGCCTTTATCAACAACAGAATATGTTAACTTTATAGCTTGCATATATACTCCATCATATATTGTTCAAGTATGTTGTATAAGAAGACGTCGGGGCCATTTAGGTATAATGTTTGTAAAGTAGAAAAGCCCAAAACAAATAAAAAGAGATATGAGCGAGACATCTTGAGACATTCCCTGGTGGGCAATAATAGATGAACGAGGCAGAGAGGAATTGAGACATTCAGGTACAAAGCACAAGTTTCGCAAGAGAGAGAAAGAGAGAGAGAGGGAGAGCTTTTGATTGGGACAACATGGATGCAATAAGGTCTATCGTAATGCATAGAGATCATAGTTCATTCAGAGAACATACTGTTCACAGCGACCATTGTCATCATCAAGATACGAATTGAAGGTCAATGTCGGGCCACAGTATGCCTCCTCATCAAATCCACCGACTGCGCCCAGCTTCAACCATCCATCCCCAAGACTACCAGCGTCCATGCGTAGACACTTGGTATTGCAGTCTTGGCATTGCTCCCCGTTGTCTTTGCTGGCCATGTAGTGCTTGACGGCGCGGGAAATCGCGTCGCGCTGTGCTTTGATGTCGCATTCTGGGTCAGCAGACCGCCAGTACCATTTCACATCCTCGTAGGTCCCGCTCATCGAATTGCAGGTTTCTGGGTTATAAAGCGTTTTGATGGTGCTTGTCAGCGATTTCGTCCATTGGGTTATATAGTCTGTGACCGCACTTGGAGTCTCGGCGAGATTGTCTGGCAGCGAGTACCCTGCGATAGATGATGGCCATGTAGAGGCTAGTGTTGAGGCTGACAGGCAACACGCTGCGATTATAATGTTGGGCAGTAACATAGTGGGGCTGTTGGTAAATCGATCGAGCGACGATTATAAAATAGATGAGATCGGGGTATTTATAAAGTGGTTTAGCCCACTACAAAGTATAGTTGTGGGGCGGTCTTGGATCATCATTGGACCGCATTTCTCAGACTGGGGTCTTAGACTGTTGTCTCTCCAATGTTTGTATGGAGGTGGATATTGATCCTCCCAGACTAAAAATGAGGCTGAATCCTGCTAGTTTTAGGTAGGTGGTGTCGTGAATATCCTTAACACATAGGATGACCACATGAAAGCTACTAGACCTGACTCTGAGCGATGAATCTATGTCTTACCAAGCCAGATACAAAGAACCTTGGGGGTATACGGGGACCGAATATATAGCCAAACAACTCTATTATTGACGCGCAAATCCTAAAGAGATCTGAGAGCAGTCTAGCCAATTGTATTTGAATCCTGCTCAAACCCAACCATCTCCATCAAATGATATCGCACCAACCGTCCAACCCCGAGCACCCTGACCCACGCCATGAGATCCTCCTTGAGGATTCGTCGTGAGGCGCATCGGATCGCGTTGGCCTGTTATCGTATCATTTCTCATTTCAACCGACATCATGAACATCCATGGATGTCGGCTTTACTTGGGTAAGGGTGAGAAGTCCTTCCCTCGTTTGTTGGTCATTGGGGGTTTTAAATGGTGACCGACTGGTCCCAATGGGACGAATCCGCTGCCCGCTCCGGGCGGCCCTGACGTCCCACTTTCTTGTTGACTACCTCATTCAGAGGCATTTCCTGTCGACTTTGTTGTTCTTGGTTGCCCTAATCCAAGGGACTGTTTCAATGGTGACCGATGTGGTCCCGGCAGGATGAATCTGGCCATGCATTTTGGCTGGCTTTGATGTCCTTCTTCTTTGCGACTACCCTACTTAAGGGTATTTCCTTGTCGACTTGCGTATTGCTGATTGCCTTAATCAAAAGGAACCGCGAGTGTCTGCAACTCAAACAGTTACAGACGTCTTGTTGGCACGAGCGATTCAGCTGCCCTCAAGTCATGGTGGCGGGTTGGTGTGAGGATGGACGTACGGATTGACAACAATCGATAGAAAATAGAAAGATTTTGAGCAAGGAGTTGCGTCTCTCACGCTAGGAAGGCATCGAGGTGGAATTGGCATGCTCGATGATGACGGAGGCGGCTGGAAGAGCCTCGACGTCAAGGGAGAGGGCTTGGTTATGAGAGGGAGGACAACATGGTAGCTCTCTCAGCACATCTCGATGGTCCTCGAGAAAGAAAAAAAAAAAGAAGAAAGGGGAACCGGGGCGAGATCAATGCAAACCAGCCCTGGGGCGCGTCGTTTGTGGGTGAGTAAGCAGTGGCGGTGAACTGATAGCTATCTTTCTGCCACATCCCCGCCGATGAATTTCGATAAAAAAAAGTTATCAATCCAAGTTGTTCATCTTGGGCCAATTATTTCGAGTTCCCTAGCTTTTTATCGCTTATTGTTCATCTAAAATAATTTTTCAACTTACTGCCATGACTTTTTCCGATGATGATCCCGTTGTCGCCTCCTACGACGTTCTCCTCACTGACTCAGATGTCTCTCGCTATGTTTTCCAATACGTCGATCGAGAGCACGACCGTCCCTACAATGACCAAGAAAACCAACGACCGATCCAACTTCGAATTAAACCGCGCACAGGTCTTATTGAAGTTGAAGTCCCCATCAGCACCCGAGAAAATTACGACGTTAGCAAGGGAATGCGCTATGGGGATGCGGTGAAGAAGAGCCGTTCCGCGCGCGATGGGGGCGCTTATGGTATGGCTGGCGGCTTTACTGCTGGCGGTGGGTCTGCAGCTGCAGGAGGGAGAGTCAAGATGGAAGCGAATGGAGACGTGGAGATATTGGATAATAAGAGGGCCGTGGATTCGGCATCATTGATGCGAGTGCAGTCACTTGGAGGTCGGATAAAGCCTTCTGAAGAGGGCGATCCAGTTTACATGCTGGCCACCTTCACAGATAGTACGTTGAGGCCACTTGATCGTATTCTTTTCTGATGGCAAGATTCTATTCTAACGTCCGTTCTTAGAAAACCTACATCTCTCCCCCGTCACATCGGTTGTCCAGTTTCACCCTCAACTTCACCACCTGGATGCTTTGGATGAGATGCCAAAAGTGAAAGGTCCGCGTGCTAAAAAGGATGACGATGACCGTCCTGCGGAGAGTGAAGCACGTGCAATCGATATTAAAGTCAAGGCCGCTGAAGATGGTGAAGCGGCTGCAAACGCCGGCAATTTAGACCTTCTTAAGCAAATGCAAGATGAGAAATGGAAAACATATGGCTGGTTTGATGCCGAGGTATGTTCTCGTTCTCCCTTTAATGGATCTCCATTTTATTTGTTGCTCACTAACTCTCGCCGATTCCAGGCCGAGGATTCTTGGTACACATATGAGAACTTTATGATCCAGAAGGAGACCGAAAACCTCCCGTCCCTAGAGTCAAAGATTGAGTCGGAAGACTACCTTGATAAAATGAGCGCCCCTAGGATTGATCCTGCCCGCCCCGACATGACTGGTTGGGCCATGAAGGAAAATCGCCGGAGGCAAAGAGACGGCCAAGCAGGTACTGAGGCCAAATAGCGAGGACTTACTCCGTACATTGTACAACAATCCAAACAATTCATTTCTAGCGGAATTTTAGCATCAACTTCAAAAGTATCTATATCATATTTAAACATTAAGGACAAAATCATGTCTGCGTCACGTTCAAAAAGTGACACGCAAAAAAACCCCCCTTGGAAGCTCTTTTGTTGTAGACCTTGCCACTCATATGTACATATATGTAGTTGTCCGCCAATCATGATAAAAGATTGGTGTTGGTCACGTGCCATGTTGGGTTTTTCTGCCGGCCCTGTTTCATCGCGACAGGTCCGATAAATCTCCCTTTCTCCCTCGTTGACTTCATATTTTTGCCCTGTCCCTTTTTTTTGTTCGGTTGAAGGTTGCAGGACAGCGAGTCAACGCGACTATTACCCGTCTTCTGTAACGGAACAATCGCGTTGGTCTTCCTCAACATCCAGCATTGCGGTGTTCTGTTTTTCTGGCTTTCATCGTTGAAAGTCTGCATCTACTTTATGATTTACCCTTAATATCTTTTCCTTTTGGAGTCATTATACATATTCTCATTCGCTTTCAATTTCTGCTCTTCGATTTCCAACCTCTCCAAAACGCCAATTCCACGCACCATGTTATCCCGCGTGGCTTGTCAAAAAAATGCTTTCCTTCACTTCCGGAGGGTGCAGGCCTCCCGAGCATCATTCCATTTGCCGACAACGCGTTTTCACTCATATTCGAATAATCGGAACTCACTTTTGAATCTGTCGTGCAAGTCGATTCACGATCGCCCGCGCAATCCGTCTCCGCAATCAGAGCGTCATCTCGCTACAGCCGCCGACCAATCTAGCATCGACGGGCACTCGCCGGAGACTTACGATCACTTCATGCACATGCCTTTTGAGAGCTTCGATACATCATCCCTGATCATCCTCGACTCGACACCGCAATCGCAATCGAAAGTCTTCCGTAGGAGGCAAGGTATCGGCGGTGATGAAATGGAGATGAAGGCTAACCTTCAACTCTCATTAAAGGTTGGGGAATTTGAACGAGCCGCTGGGTTGATTACTCGCCTTGGCCATTATCACCCGCCTGGCTCGGATGAGTATCTCCTTATCCATAACCGTTTCATGAAGCATATGGTGGCGTATATGATCCTCAACCGACAGCAAGACATGATTCTGTCGTTGCAGAAATGGTTTGAAGTCGATATGCCGGCCGGTGGCGTCACACCGGATGCGACCAGTTTTGCGATTATGATTCGAATGGCGCTGCGTATGCTTCATGGATCTAAGCGCGACAGAACTGTACGCCGATACTGGGAACTTGCCCAGAACGCGGGTTTGGAGGAAGAGCTTGTCGGCATTGAGGTTCTCGAGGACTCAGATGTTGGTGAGCTGTCGAAGGTGAGCTTATGCTTCTAATCTGTACCCTGAATGCGTGCTGATGTTTCTAATCTAGATTTGCTCCTCTGACATGTTAGACTTGGTCTCGAAATATATGGAACTCTCCGAAACTACTGAAGCGCCTTCCGCCATCGTCGATGATACCCCTCAAATCCAAGCCGCCGACCAAAAGGGATTGGGGCTGGCATCTTTGAAACGATCCCTGTCACTCTTCTCCGGCAATTCTGACGTACGTCTGCCCGAAAATTTCAAAGGCACCGAAGAAGAAGCAAAGCAATTGCTTTCAGATATGAGGCAAATACGGCTTGAAACTGATAGTCTCGACTCGGCCCTCTGGCGTTGGCGCTCAGATAATGCAGAGAGACAAAAATCCGGGTTCAACGTCGCTTCCGATGAGAAAAAGCTCAGCAGAGTCATGAGTGAATGGCACTCGGAACTTGTGGCAAGAATCAAGAAGGAGTTAGACCTCGTGAAAGAGTCATCTGCGAACCGTATCACAAATCAAGAAGAAAAAGAGCGCTGTGAATATGGTGTGTTTTTGCAGGCCCTCGATCCCGACCGGTTAGCCGCACTCACTCTCTTGACTGTGATGTCTACTTTCAGTCGCCAGGGGATGGACAAGGGAACCAAACTTTCTGCCCTCGCTTCAATAATTGGAAAAGAATTACAGGATGAACTCATTGCCGACACCTATTTACAAAAGCACAAGTCTATGGATCCGGGTCGTCTCAAGGCACTGAAGCAGACTCTCGCAAACCGCAAAGACAAGCAAGGCCGACACCGATGGCGAACGCTCGTTGAAAAGCTCAATGCAGAAAATGAATCTGTAATCTGGGGCTCCCGCTCACAGGTCAAAATCGGTGCTGTTTTGATGGGCATGTTAATCGAAGTTGGGAAAGTCCCTGTTTGGACTGAGGATCCTGTCAACAAGAAAAGGGTTCTCAACATGCAACCGGCCTTCAACCATTCTTATCAAATTCACTACGGGAAACGATCCGGTCATATCCACATGAACACTAAACTTGTGGAACTTGTTGGCAGAGAGCCACCCGCTGACCTCCTAGCCCGTCACCTCCCCATGGTCTGCAAACCTAGACCATGGACAGGGCCAAGAATTGGCGGGTACAAGATATACGAGTCTAACCTAGTGCGCACTACTCCCGGTGAATCACTACAACCGGCCTACCTCAAAGCTGTCTTGAAAGATGATGGGCTGAAAGAAATCCGATCAGGCCTTCATGTTCTCGGTACCACTGGGTGGAAAATCAATCAGCAGGTTTTTGACGTGATGGTCGAAGCTTGGAATAACGGGGAGGCAGTGGGAAACCTCGCCCCCTTGAATCCAGACCTGCAGATTCCAGAACAACCAAGTCCAGACGCCGACTATGCAACCCAAAAAGACTGGCGCTTAAAGGTGCGTGAAGTCGAAAATATTCGCTCTGGATTGCATTCTGTTCGATGCTTCCAGAACTTTCAGCTTGAGGTAGCCCGAGCCTTCCGGAAAGAGGTCTTCTATCTGCCCCACAACATGGATTTCCGCGGGAGAGCTTACCCACTTCCTCCTTACCTGAATCAAATGGGGGCTGACAATTCAAGAGGATTACTTCTTTTCGATAATGGCAAGGTGCTTGGGACATCTGGCATGCGCTGGTTAAAAATTCAGATCGCAAACTTATTTGGATTTGACAAAGCAAGCATGTCTGAACGGGAGCAATTCACAATGGACAACTTGGATGATGTTCTTGATTCTGCCAACATGGGACTCCACGGACGACGGTGGTGGCTCAAGGCTGAGGATCCATGGCAGCTTTTAGCAGCGTGTTGCGAACTCCGCAACGCCTTGCAACTCTCTGACCCCACGGAATATGTCTCTCATCTTCCGGTTCACCAAGATGGCTCCTGCAATGGACTTCAGCACTATGCTGCTCTGGGCGGTGACCGTGTCGGCGCCCAGCAGGTCAATCTTGAACCGTCTGATCGCCCTTCAGACGTCTATACCGGCGTGTGCGAATTTGTCAAAGAAGCCATCGCAAAGGACGCAGCAAATGGCGATCCTTTGGCTCAGCGTCTCGATGGCAGAGTCACGAGAAAGATTGTAAAACAGACGGTCATGACGAATGTCTACGGTGTGACCTTCTTGGGGGCGACGAGGCAGGTCAAAAGGCAGCTTGTTGACTATCTCCCTGATCTTAACAACACAGACAGGAATATCGCGTCTTTCTATATCGCATTAAAGATTTTTGGCGCTCTCGGATCCATGTTCAACGGAGCCCATGAGATCCAATATTGGCTTGGCGATTGTGCCCAACGCATTACACAGTCTGTGACGCCGGAGCAAATTGAGGAGCTCACGCAAGCAGCATTAGTACCCAAAGAGGAACGCAACGAGGGGTCTTCGACATCCTCTGATCCAGAGAAATCCTTCACGTCGACTGTGATTTGGACGACCCCACTAGGTCTCCCGGTGGTCCAGCCATATCGCACTCGCAAGATCCGGCGTGTTAGGACTAGTTTACAAGACATCAGTCTTGTTGAACCTGGCTCAGATGAGGTTGTTTCAAAGCGCAAGCAGCTTCAGGCCTTCCCGCCGAACTTCATTCACTCTCTTGATGCTACACACATGATCCTGTCCGCCAATGCATGCCATGAAGCAGGTCTTACTTTTTCCGCAGTCCATGATTCCTTCTGGACTCATGCTGCTGATATCGACCAGATGAACCTCATCCTTCGTGATGCCTTCGTTCGCATGCATTCCGATGATGTTGTGGGGCGTCTCGGCGCCGAATTCAAAGTGCGATATAGCAAGAATATATTCCTGGCTAGAATCTCACGAGCAACTCCTCTCGGTAAGGCGGTCTTCTCATACCGTCAAACTACCAGGATTTCCAAACTCCAAGAGTTGATCAACGAAAACCGGCGACAAATTCTTCTCAACTCGGAAGATCCGGAGGATCAGGCCGAGGGTCGTGCTATGGTAACACCCTGCAGCATCTTTGAAAAATTAGGCGGTAAAGATGATGACCTAACTGCCTTTAAAACAATGGGTTCGACCTCAATTGGGCACATCCCAGAAACTCTTCCTGATCCAGAGCGGGTACCAATGGGATTTTCAATCGACACTACCGATCCGGCCATTGAGAGCCTGGTCGGCGACCTCGGGATGTTTGACTCGAAGCAGATCTCCCAGAGCGCGATGACCGCCGAAGTAACGGATGAGGTCCATGGTGAAACCTCCGATCAGAATGAGAATACCGAGCAGCCCCAGAGCTCTCCGACGTCGAAGCGCTCCTTAACCACTTGGTTATGGATGCCTCTGACCTTCCGTCCAGTCCCTAAAAAGGGTGACTGGGACCTGACTCGAATTCGCGAGAGTGAATACTTCTTCTCGTGAACGCTCTCATCAGGTGGTAACCGCATTCCGCTGGCGTTTATGCATACTTCCACAGTTTCACAGTTTCACATTTTTTTAGCCATGTCCGGAGCGCTGTGGAAGGGTGATCTCTGGATTCATTTAGCTGACTTTTTAATTTCCTGTATATTTTCCCGATTTATTTTCTGGGCTTTCAATTGCATTTTGTACATTACACATGGGGGGAGAAGACAGTATATACTACCTGTATGAATATGATATCGAACTTCCCGAATTCCATATGTGTACATGTACCTTCTACCTTTAGACTCATAATAACTCTATATATTAACTTAGCCACCGGTCCCAACTTTAAACTAAATACCCGGTGAAGTCCTGTTGTATTTAGGCAAAATGAAAAGAAAAGAAAAAAGCAAGGTAGACAGAGTGGCCTAACAACGCGGATCTAGCCGCTTTGGAATGACTCGAGCCTTATATAATAAGTATATGTATAATTGCCGAGGTACGGTAGCCATTGGTGATTTAGCATTACCCTGTAAGCCTGTAAGCCTGTAATCCTCGTATGCCAGTCAGATGAACGGAAATCTATGGCGAGACTACCTAAGACTCCGGACCTGAACCCCTCATCTGGCCACGGTCACATACCCCGGTCTTGGCCCGCGGGGAGAGGACAAAGCACATTAAGGTACTCCGTACGGAGTATCCCCGGATATACTCCTTATGCAGACTGGGCTACAAGTGCCGGGTCTACGGAGTGTTTGTAGTCATGGATGACAAGGATGTTGTTTAGAGTCAAAATGTGGACATGGGCGAGGGGAGAAAAGGGAGTCTGCAGTACCACTTGAAACAAAAGGGGTAGAAATGGGGGTTAAACGTATGGATAAAAGGTGTATTACGTGTGTTAAGTATAGATATTATTAATTTAAAATGAAAAAATTGGAGAGAAGGGAGAAGAGAGAAGAGAATATCTACATAATGTACATACACAACATTCAGGCAACATACCGGTGACAGTGACAGTGACACCACCCCATGGACAATTCTCATCTCTCCGACCACGTGCCGTTCCCCCCCCCGCCTTTACATGACTTCCCCAGATCTTCTGATCTTCTGATCTTCGTGTCTTCTTGTCTTCTTGTTTCTGATCTTCTTATCTTCTTTTAATTGTTTGATATTTTTGATATTTCTAATTTGACTTGGGCCCTTTGAACTGTGCGAAAAACTAAGCTTTGGGCTGCGCCGAGAGGGAAAAAAAAAGTCGCCTCCCGATTCTCTCTGCATCTTTCTGCAATGCCGTTGTGACTTCTTGGTCATCTATATACTACTTCGAAGGTTTTGACCCAATCTTTTTGTCTCTGGTAGACTCGGGAGTCTAGGTCACTTTGGTCTGTCCCTCTATGTCGCCATAGCCCTATTTCCGCCTCCTCGGAGAAGCATGTCGATGACCTCCCTCTCCTCCGCCAATTCTTATTCTCCCTTTTCATCTCAAGCCAAACGGATGACACAATCCCAAACCCCCGGGCTGGATACGCTTGCGGAGGGGTCGCAATATGCGCTGGAACAGCTCCAGTTAGCACGTGAAGCCGGTGCTGCCAACATCCCGACCGATCCCAGTAACTCTCTCGACCCGAAGACGTCGCAACATTCGCAACATCTCATCTATAGCGAACAAGACCGTTCCAATTCAGGTCTGAAGGATCCAGAACTGCGCGATTCCCTTGCTGAGGCGCGCTCCGCTATTCGAAAAAACTCATCTGCAACTGCAGTCCGTCGGAGAATTAGCCGAGCCTGCGACCAATGCAATCAATTGCGAACCAAGTGTGATGGACAAAACCCCTGTGCACATTGCGTTGGTACGATTTTTTTTTCCCCAACGGACCCTCATCATTTGCGCATGGGTTGAACTAACAGTTCGCAGAGTTTGGACTCAGCTGTGAGTACGCCCGCGAGCGCAAAAAGCGCGGGAAAGCGTCAAAAAAGGATATAGCCGCCACCGGCATTACCGACAGCGAAATGGGTGGCAACGAAAACACAACGCATACTAAAGGACAGCCCTCCAACGGACAGTCTTTGCATGAATCCAACGAACATTACGATCCCGCCTTTGATGCCGCGCGCACTCTAACTGAAGGCGCACAATCTCGGTCGCATAACGCGGAGGTGGCCGGCCTATCTGCTATGCGCCAAAGTCAAGCGCCCGTCCAAGCACCTTCTCAACAGCAGATGAGCTCCAACATGGCGGGCATGCCATTCAATAATTATGCAGCGCTCCAAGAATCCCACCGACCCTCGATGTCCGTTCCGGATATGCGCTCGATACAGATGATGCAAAACTCGAATGGGAACCCTCGGTCGCCGGGTTCAATGCTTCATCCTCAAGGGTTTTCTTCGGGGTATAATGACGGCGCATACCCTTTGATGAATGGGCAAGACCCGAATCCGAGCGCTATGAACCACTTCCGCATTGGAAACTCGACGGAGAACCCATCGGCTTCTTTTATGGGTTTCTCTCCTCCAGCGCAGTCACCTAGCTGGTTGCCACTCCCTTCCCCATCACCCGCAAACTTCCCTTCTTTCAGCATACCCCCTTTCTCCAGCTCATTGAGATACCCGGTTTTGCAACCAGTGCTTCCGCACATTATTTCTATAATCCCTCAATCGCTGGCCTGTGATCTTCTCGACGTCTATTTCACCAGCTCGTCCTCCTCGCATCTTTCTCCGTCATCGCCCTATGTGGTTGGCTATGTCTTCCGTAAGCAATCCTTCCTACACCCCACGAAGCCACGATCATGCACCCCTGGACTACTTGCCAGCATGTTGTGGGTCGCGGCTCAAACAAGCGAGGCTGCATTCTTGACATCACCTCCCTCGGCCCGAGGTCGAGTCTGCCAAAAGCTTCTGGAGTTGACGATTGGCTTACTCCGGCCACTTATCCATGGTCCCGCGACCGGAGAAGCGTCTCCCAATTATCCAGCTAATATGGTAATTAATGGGGTGGCTCTCGGTGGGTTTGGAGTTTCCATGGATCAATTGGGTGCTCAGAGCAGTGCCACTGGCGCAGTGGATGATGTCGCTACGTATGTTCACTTGGCAACTGTCGTCTCTGCCAGCGAATATAAGGCTGCAAGTATGCGATGGTGGACAGCTGCCTGGTCTCTCGCGCGAGAGTTGAAACTTGGTCGCGAATTACCGCCTAATGCGGCGACCCGCCAAGACGGCGAAATGGAGGGCGAGGGGGACATGGATGTGAATGGCAACAAGAGGCAATCATCCTCTTTACTGGGCCACGGCCCAGGCAACTCTGCAATTAATCTCACAGAGGAAGAACGCGAAGAGCGCCGGCGAATCTGGTGGCTATTATATGCGACAGATCGTCATCTGGCACTTTGCTACAACCGGCCGTTGACATTGCTGGATAAAGAGTGCGAGGGATTGTTACAGCCGATGAACGATGATATTTGGCAGGCGGGCGACTTTTCATCTGTCAACTACCGCCGTGCTGGCCCAGCCTCTGAGTGCACTGGTCATAGCATGTTTGGGTACTTCTTACCCCTGATGGCTATCCTGGGTGAGATTGTGGATTTGCAACATGCCCGCAATCACCCGCGCTTTGGTCTCCATTTCCGCAACAGCAGCGAGTGGGAAAGTCAAGCCATTGAAATTAGCCGCCAGCTCGATGTCTACGCTCAGAGCCTGAAAGAATTCGAGGCTCGATATACTAGCTCGATTGCCCTCGGGGCCGGCGAGCCTGACACGGCCATGGAAGGTTCCAACGTTAACCATGTCAGCCCATCTGGTCGGTCGAGTAGCACGGTAGGATCGCATGTGAGCGAGTCCATCGTTCATACGAGGATGGTGGTAGCCTATGGCACCCACATTATGCATGTACTCCACATTCTACTGGCTGGGAAGTGGGACCCGATTAACCTACTCGACGATAACGATCTCTGGATCTCTTCTGAGTCGTTTATCACTGCCATGGGCCATGCAGTCAGCTCTGCTGAGGCAGCTTCGGACATTTTGGAATACGACCCCGATCTAAGCTTCATGCCCTTCTTCTTTGGCATATATCTCTTGCAAGGTAGCTTCTTGTTACTCTTGACTGCGGATAAATTGCAAGGAGATGCTAGTCCCAGCGTTGTCCGGGCCTGCGAAACAATCGTGCGAGCGCATGAGGCTTGCGTCGTGACTTTGAATACTGAATATCAGGTAAGATTTACCCGTGACCAAACCTTATATTTACAAAAGCTAATCTCCGGAAGCGAACGTTCCGAAAAGTGATGCGCTCGGCCCTGGCTCAAGTCCGCGGCCGTGTCCCAGAAGACTTCGGCGAGCAGCAGTCACGCAGGCGCGAGGTGCTAGCCCTTTACCGCTGGAGCGGCGACGGTAGCGGCCTTGCGCTTTAGCAAGACTGCCGAGTATACTTCAGTATGCTAAGCCTATTGCGGCTGTTACTCGTCGTTTTTCTTTTGGATTTATTACAGTTTTATTGATCTTTGATTTTGATTCTATTTGCGCCCTGTATACTATACTTCCTGGATTTTGGACATACCCTGAGGAGCAAAAAGGCGCACAATCTCATGGTGTCTATATATGACTCGGCACATACCATACCTACTTAAATATTGATTTTGACTAATTTTGGGTATATACTTCAAGTAGAACGTATTCCTTTTCTCTTCTATATTTCCTTCTAAGGGGCCCATTTCTTTGTGGAGACCCGTGGGCGTCATGAAGATCTTGAAGCTCCTGGCTGAATAGTTCATTCAACTCCAACAGATCAATGCCCATAATATTGAGCCATACAAACTTAATGTTTCTATCTTATGCATAGTATGTAGTACTTTCTATTTTTGTTTTTGCTGAGTTGTATAAACTTCACCCTAGAATTTGCATCATGTGATTTGTGATGATGCTTATTTAGGCTCCACCCAAGCTCCGACCCTCTTCAATTACACCTCTTTAACCCCAACCAACATCTATCCTAACAAATGACGGTATCCGAGATCTCAAGACCAACAAAATGAAACCTTATATAGGCCTACCTCTCGTGGCCGGACTTGTCTATCGAGCTTGGTCGCGCAAATCCCTTACCCCGCTCGGCCTAGTCGTTGCGGGATGTTCAGCCTCCGCACATGCTCTCCACCCATGGTCGGCACCAGTCGCACTCCTTGCGGTATTCTATTTCAGCGGGACTAGGGCTACAAAGGTATGAAGCCACCCATGTGTCGAACAGAGATGCATAATATCCACTCTTCAACCTACATCTATGTTAGGGGCGTAGCTTACAAGATCATGGTGGTAGGTAAAACATGAGATCAAGTCGCGCTTGACGCTCTCCGCAACTGGTGCGGAAGGCGGCGAAGGTGCCCGGAATCATCTCCAGGTCCTGGCAAACTCCGTAGTTGCTACCGTATTATCGATCGCCCATGCAATTGTCCTGGCCAAAACGACAAGCACCGAATCGTGTTTCTCACTCGGCCAGAATGCGGCTGATATCTTAATGGTTGGGATTGTAGCGTACGTCTCTCAAATTCACATTCAATTTCTGCACTTTCTGTTCCAGGGCATATAACTGATAGGTTCCTCTTCGCAGAAACTACGCCGCTGTCGCTGCAGACACCTTCTCCTCCGAGCTCGGTATTCTCTCGAAATCCAAACCCCGCCTGATTACCTCGTTGAATCTCCGCGAAGTACCCCCTGGTACAAATGGAGGTGTAACTGCGACTGGTCTTGGGGCTGGCCTTTTGGGGTCGTTCATTGTTTCCGCGACATCTGCTGTGGTTCTTCCGTTCTGTGCCAGTGCCGGATTGAAAGATCGAGCTCTGTGGACCATAGCTATGACACTTTGGGGTACATTGGGCAGTGTTCTTGACAGTGTTCTCGGTGGGCTTTTGCAGGCCAGTGTTGTCGATAAGAGGACCGGGAAGGTTGTAGAGGGGAATGGTGGCAGAAAGGTGAGTTCACGGTTATGTGACCTTTGCCACTGTGTAAAACGCTCTAATCCAGTATTCTAGGTGCTCATTCACCCTTCCACGGGCAAGCCGGTTATTTCTGATAGCACTGCCACTGCCACTGGTAGCATCCATAAGGCTGCATTGCGTGGCATCCAAGTGGCACATATCGTCGAGGAAAGTCAGGAAAGTCGTCGCCTCGAAACTGGCCATGACTGGCTAGACAACAATGGCGTCAATCTCCTCATGGCTGCGACTATGAGTGTCGGAGCTATGTGTATTGCACAGTGGTTCTGGGGGTTGGATGTGTTTGAGTTGCTGGTGTAAATTCTACAGATATTCTTCAGTCGGGTAGAATATCAAACTAATCTAGGTTTCGAACACGCTCTATCTGGTTTCTGTTTTCTTTTTTCCGGGTTGGTTTAGATCAAAATTATGACGAATATATGTCTTTATCTTTCTTGGTCTTTTGAGTGTCTCTGCTTTGAATGAGGCGTGGTCTAGCTTTTTGTTTGTCGTAGCAGCTTCCAGATCGTCACCCACCTTTTCTCTTCGACTAATTCAGTCGGTATTTGTTTTCTTTTTTTCCCCCTCCACTCCTCTTCCTCTTTCTGTGTTCCCTTCGCTTCTCAACAACAACATCAGCCTAATCAGGTAAAGCCAATGCGACTTTGACTCAACCGACACGACCATCACGTGTCATCGTTGGCCCTAGCTCGTGAGTCCCTTCTACATATTACACGTGCCAACTGTCCCAGGGCTTCATCTCGGACTCGAAGAGCTGACAAACAAAAATCTTAGCATAATTCAGACTAACAGAACACGCCAACCAAGATGGCAACCGAAGAAGAACTCGACATGCACGTGCGAGTCACAGCGCCAAGTGTCGCTTTCCTACCTGAGACCGAAACATCCAAGGCTGTAGTCCATGACCTTCACCATAGTGACTTGCTTCCTGTGTATGGCTATGTCTCCCATGAATATCTGATGACCGGCGTTGCCGTTGCCCACTCGTACTGCACGCGTCTCCTCCTTCGTTGCCCTGCGGATCCTAACAAATTTGCCGGTCTTGTCATCGTGGAACCATCTCACCTATGGGGTGGAACAACTATGTGGCGTATCATTGAGCGGTGGCTGATGCGCAGTGGTGAGTTGCCACTTATTCTAATTGGGCGTGTTGTCTGTGCTAACAGTTGAAAGGACATGCCTGGCTGGAAGTTGACTCGCAAGCTCCTGCGGCAATTGACCAGATCAAAAACGCTGATCCCGAACGCTACAAAGAGATGCACTTTATCCCCTGCCAGACCTTGCAGGAGTTTTCTAACAAAATATCCGCTTTCGTTAAAGAGGAAGAGCTCTGGAATGATTACAGAATCTTCAAGGAGAGATGGTGGGCCGCAACTTTGCAGTCGCCGGAGATACTTGTTGCTACATCACATGCTTTGAGATCGGGACAGATGGGTATCAAGGCCGAGCGCGTCATACTAACTGGTCTTTGCCAGACTGCAGACTTGATCAGAAAATTCATCGTCGAGTCTGCTCATCTCCGACTTCCTGATGGATCTGCCCCGTTTGAGGGGTTCATGCCATGCCAATCCGAGGGTGGCAATTCACTTCCAGACTTTCGCGGTGCAAAGATCATTGAGGTTCTAGGTGAATTCGAAGTCAATGCTATCAAGATATTCTACGGGAAGTTCGGGGCTGAAAGGGCCCCCCACCGCCGTGCTGATAGCAGGTCATTCCGGCTCTACGAAGTTTCCGGCATGTCTCATCGCGAGACCCGATACCTCTCCATGACCGACAAAAAGCGTTTGTCGACTGTTGATCTCGAAGGTGCCCAGTGGAGTACTTTCGCCAGTTCTTTCGTTTACCATGCTCTCTTCGATGCTATGAACAAATGGACTACGACCGGTGTTGCTCCCCCGCGTGGTACCACAATTGATATCGACAAATTCGGCGAGATTGAGCGCGATGAGTACGGAAACGCGCTTGCTGGAGTCAGAACTGTTCATACGGATGTGCCTACTGGCAAAATCATTGATTTTACCCCTCAGCCAGGTCCGAATTGGCATATTGGTAAGTTTTTCATATCTGTGGCTTTCCTTTTTTTTTTAGGTTCTAACATCGATATCATTGGAAGGCACTGAAATGCCTTTCAAAGATGTCAAAATGTGGGCTGTCTACAAAACGGTAGCCAACTATCGACGCCAGGCGGGTGAAGCTGTCGATCGACAGATTGAAGCGGGATTCTTGCTGCCGGAAGACGCTGAGGTCCTGCGTCGCGATACCATTGAGCAAGTCTCCTTTTAAAATCGGCAGACTAGAGTATCGCTTGTTACTTATCATGGATTTGGGTTGTTGCCTGTATCTTGGGGGCCTGGACTCCCTTAGTAACAGACACTTACTTACCTCGGGATGTCATTGGCTATGTTGCATTGAATTTGAGATGAACTTCGCTTTATTGCACTTTCAATGTCTTTAGCTAGGGCCGCTTGGCTATCTATCTACTTTCATGTCAATGAAATTCCTTTCTCTGATTTTTTTAATCATGCTCATGTAAGACCATTCTTCGCCCACAGATTGATTATATCATCTGTAAAAGCATAGCATACAGCTCGAGATATCTTGTTGATTTATATTGCTTAGTTCCCTATTTTTATTTCTCAAAAAGCATTATCTTGTCTCCAACTACTTTTTTTTGACTTATTTTCTGTGTGTTCTCTAGTATCAAATAACTATTGCTTACGCAGTATGGCTATCCAAAGTCGCACAACATACATCCCTGCCCCAGCAGATCCATTTATAGCACTGCATACCAAGGCAGGCAGACCTTAAAAAATAAATACCGAATATTCGGTCATGTACGATCAATCACAGTTGTAGCGCATGAATTAGGCTAATAAATTCCGTCTTTATCAGGAAAAGTAGCCGCCTTGTGTTTCCATATCAAATCCAGTCCGCAAGCTGATCACCAACCAGATATCATCATTTAGCGCTGCGCCATGCCATATGTTTAGGCATTCTGCCCCATATACTGTTGATACGACATGGCCTAGTCACACAGGGGCAGGGCGTTGAGCCTATCGGGGTATAAAAGTCCCTCAATTCGCCCATCCAATGTGTACCTTATTCCCAGCGACTTTCTACATCATATCCTCGTCCGCATTGTAATCACCCTTTGTGTGCTATCTATCTCTGCCGCCTATTCCTATACTCCAGTCTTTCTCATCATGGGTCTTGTAAAGCTCTTGCTCAAAGCGATCCTTATCCCAATTGTTGTCCTCCTTGTTATTGCGGTTGCTATTTTCCTTCTCATCAAAATGCGCAGTGATCGCAAAAAGAAAGAAAAGGAACTGGAGAATTCTTTCCAACCACCCCCTATACAGCAATGGGTGCCGTACACCCCGGTCCAGCAACCAGCGCCGGCATACGTCAAGACACCAGGGGCGATGGAGCAAGGAGGTGGACACGCACAGCCTTAGGTGGCATTTTCTGTTGGGTAATTATTCCTTCAGTGGGGGGTTTAATGATCGTCTTTGCTGACCGCGAAGTGCTGCAGACTGTTTCGAAGTAACGCTTACACCATGGTTGGGAGGCTTATTTGTTCAACTTTGCAAAGGATTTTGTGTGAAGTATTTCCATTTAGGGGCTTTCTGTCAATGCAAACCGGGGGTTGGGAACTGCAGTCGTTACATATATGTCGGTGATTTTCTTCCATATTGCTGGAGTTTGTACTACCCAGAGAGATCAGCAGAATCATTACTCTCTACTGTTCAGCTACTCTGATATTAGGGCGTTTTGAATGTTGGAGTTCAGGTGTTTGGGCTCCTAATTTGCTCACAATTCATCCCTAGATCTGATATTTTCTCGGCTTGACCTATAAGACTACATACCTTGGGGCTTTGCATCTCGTCAGAGGCAGAGGATCTACATGCGGTCTACTAATCTACATTCAAGGGGAATTCTGTTGCCTAATAATGTTCTCTTGGCCAGTTATCCAGTAGTAATCTATCTTACGAACGGTGGTTTTATTTCTTATATTCAAGTGGCGCTCAAGTTCGCGTTGTCTGTTATTTAAAGATACTAACCCTTCGAGGGGATTCTTTATACTTAGATTGGAGTAGCTTGAAATGAAATTTCCTTTAGTCTCCATGGGTACATATGAGTACATCCGGATACCAGCCGAGTTAATTTAGATCGAAAGTACTGCTTTAAGTGAAATTGGTGCATCCATCTCACCGCGCCAAGTATTAGGCAAGTCTCAGCCCTACCCGTGGACCCGTGGACGCGACTTCACCGTTTGAAGGCGATTCTTGCTTTTTGTTCTAAATATAGTATTGCTTCTACATTTAAATGGTTTTCGAGCGATCGCCAGAAATATGGATTTCATATGTTGTCCGAATGTAATGTATCTAACTAGAAATAATTAATCTTAGCCACCCTGCAGCATCCTAAACAAAGGGTGCATCGACTGCGTCTGGGTGCACGTAGAATGCAATTGCGATTATCAGATATCTAAAAGAAATCATTAGTACTGAAGGCAGCCAGAACAGATCATGTGGAAACTCACGTTCCAACCAATAAAATCCCTTCGTAGTAATTGGATCGGCCTCCACGAATCAGGCAGTCCATGACTATTACCGATAGAAAGAATACCACAGTTTCGAAGGGACTGTAGCGCAAGGACATGGGCTGCCCGATAATCCAGCCACACATGACCAGGAACGGACTCACAAACAACGCGATTTGCAACGTGCTTCCCACAATCACACCAATCGCAAGGTCCATATTCCCCTTGAGCGAAGAATTGATGACAGTGTTGAATTCTCCCGCGTTACCGACAATGGGAACCACAATCAGGCCAATAAAAGCCCGGCTCACATGCCATTTGTCTACAAAGCCGTCGACGCTGTCCACAAGACGATCAGAGCAGACAGTGACTCCGAGAGTTGCAAGGATCAAGATGATGCTTGCCGACCAGGGACCCAGAACTCGTTCTTCTTCTTCCTCTTCTTCTTTATCGTCGACAAATAACTCGGAGTGACTCTTCAGTTGGAAGTAGAGGTAGACCAGATAGAATGTGAGTAGGACCACGGAGGCGGCACGGGAGAGACTCAGGACGCTGGCTTCCACTGCGTGGGACTTGGACGGTATAGTTGAATAGAGCACAGATGGAATGATCAACGTTGCGGAGGACACCACCATCAATGATGACATTATTCCACTAACATCCACGTTGAAACCCACCACGTCTTTTGCATAGCCGCCGCAGAATAATGAAACGCCGAGGATCTAAATTTTGTGTAAGTAGAAAAAATAACCTAGGCAGTGAACGTGCCCCTTTTAACCAAACCTACCAGGAGATTTCCTGACAAGATACTGCCCACCATACTAGACTGCACAATACTGATTTCTCCCTGTCGGACCGCAGTGATTCCCACCTGCACAAACACCAACGTCAGTTTCCCTTAACGGAGGGTCAACTGTTCAGCTACTTACAATCATTTCAACCGCATTTCCAAACGTCGCGTTAATTAATCCTCCGACAGTTTGGCCGACACTTTTTGCCAGTTCCTCCGTGGCGAACGACAGCAACGCAGCGAGAGGAAGAATAGCCAGGAAGTTGAAGACGAAGGAGATCGAGTCATCCCATCCTTGACCCCCCGCAATTATGCCCAAAAACACAAACGGCAGTAGCAAATTGCTATAGCTGCATCCCAATGTAATCTTAATCACACGTACAACAGAGTTGTCTAGGAAGAGAGCGCGTTTCGTGCCGGGGTGGTTTGTGTCACGCAACTCTGCAGATTCCTCCCCGTTGCTTGTACGTTCGGCCTCTCTCAATAAGGCATCTTGCTCATGGGCTGTGTTTGCTTCGAGCGACCCGATCATAATTTCAGGGTCAATTTTGGTGGACTTTCGAAGTCGGGGATGAGCTGTGTCATTCATGATGTCAAAGAGTGAGGGAAAAGACCAAGAAGCATTTGATTTTGGGATCTTGGAAGGGGGGATGTATTACTCCACTGCCTTTTTTTCAGCCTCTAGGCATCTACGTAGGCACTTTCAGTGTAACTGCAGAATTTCTGGGATTGTTTTCTACTTGGAGAGCTGTGCAGATAAAATACATGTTTCAGTTAATTACATTTTAATTACAATTAAATTACATGTAACAGTATCGGTATGGAAATATTATTTTGAAATACTGAGAGCCTCATTTATTGACCTGGGGGCTTTCTACTCCGTACAGACAGGTAAATTCTCTCGGCTTCACCTTTCCCCTCGATGAATCATGTCTCCCGGTCGGGACTCACCTATGCTAAATTACAATTCCATCATGACACAGGTTCAGCAGCACCTAGGCCTCTTGTCACTTTTAATACCTCTTATCGGTATCACAACAGGAGCCCTGAAGCTGAACAGCACTGCCATATTCACCATCAACACGGTCGCTTTGATTCCACTTGGATCATGGATTAACCGATCAGTCGATGCGCTGTCCGTAGGTGGTAGCCGAGCTGTCAATGAAGTGCTGAAATCGACACTGGGAAACTCGGTGGAATTAATGGTAATATCAGGGACGACAGACTCCATCTTCAATTCAAACATAGGCTGACAATCATTTATTCAGATCGGAATTAATGCGATCGCACAAAATCGATTGCACATATCCCAGTCCGTGATACTTGGAAGTGTCCTCAGCAACTTATTACTGGTAAATCCCAGTATCAAATCCAACCACCGGTGCTATGAATCTCCTCCTAATACAAACTATACATGCAGGTCCTCGGCAGCACCATTTTCGTCTCAGGCTATGACCAAAAGCGACTCCGGTTCGATCGCACCCTCACAACAGTCCTCTCCTCCCTCATGATGGTTGTCTTTATCCTCCTCGCCCTCCCCACCATAATGGACGTCTTCCCATCCGCCAAAGCCACCCCGGAAGACCAAATCCTCGTGACGCAACGCGTAACAGCCATTATCCTTGTCATTCTGCTCCTTACATTTCTCATCTTCCGCCTCGGCACTCATGCAGCCATGTTCGCCAGCACCCCGTTCAGCCAGCGAGACCAGGCCCGTAACGGCAATCAGTCTCGCCAGAACCACATCGTCGAGGCTCAGATCCCGCAGCCGTATATTGGCAAGGGTCCAGCAGCTATAATCCTAGCAGCTGCATCCACATCTGCGCTTGCGTGCGCGTATTACATAGTCAGCAGTTTGAAGGGGGTCGCCTCGATCACGGGTATGAACCAGTCTTTCCTTGCAGTGACACTTGTTCCTCTACTCGGAAATTCGGTCAAGTATCGCTCTATCGTGGTGGGATCCCGGACTTTCAATCAGATCGAGCTTGGGATTAGGGCGGTTATTAACAATGTGTTGCGGATTACGATGCTTATTGCTCCGCTGCTGGTTCTCGTTGGTTGGGCTTTCGAGCGGCCGCTTATTCTTAGGTTTGATGGGTTTGAGGCTACAACGCTTTTGCTTAGTGTTGTGGTTATGACTTATCTTATTTCTGATGGGCGGAGTAATTACTTCGAGGGGTTGATGTTGATTGGAACGTAAGTCACTCGCACTGCCTTGTTGGGCTTATAGTTTGGTATTAACTTTGCTTTTTCTTAATAGATACATTATCATTACATTCTCGTTCTTTGTTAGGCCTGAGGTGCCGGTGAATGTCATCTTCCTGGGTGTTTAAAATTGTCCAGTCCAGATATATCATATCATTGATTACTCGAGGTATCTCCCTAATATGTAGTGAAGCGGCAAAATCCATAGGCTACATATCTAGTAAGCATAGAATGCCGCAACTAGACTAGTGTAACTATAATTATATATTAGTAAAAGAGTTGTTGGAACTCAGTAAGTAGTGCAGGGAAACTTACAGAGCAAGCAGCATTGCACCATGAATGTAAGCGTACTGTCCATCACGAAGTAGATGATTAACCACCAGAATGGCCAAAAACATGGAAACAGTCTGGAACGAGTCAAAGAAAAGGGTCATCGGTTCAGCAATGCACCAGCCGATAATCACCAAGAATGGTATAACGAACAGACCAATCTGCAAGAGACTATCAATGATAACCCGGATCGCAGAGTCTGTGTCACCTGTGCGAGATGCCGTAATGACAGAAATTCCCTCGGTACTATTGCTGGCGATTGGAATGAAAACAATCGCGATAAATACTTCAGAGACTCCGAGTGTTTTTGATATATCGCTGGTGCTTTCAAGCAGGAGTTCTGTGCAAAAGACTGTTGCCGCCACGGCTGTTATCAATCGGATGATTGATGAAACTAAGCTGACTCGGCTGGCTGCGGGCGATGAATCTCCGTCATTTTCATCATCACTAGCTTCGCTGTCACTTGAAAGGAAGAGGTGCTTGTGTGTCCCCAGGTAGAAGTAGAGATAGCCTCCATAGAGCACGAGGAGTACCAATGACGTTCCTCGTGAGAAGGATAGCACTCTATCATCGATCTCAGATACTGGGAAAGTCGAGTAGAGAGCAGTTGGAAGAAGCATTGTCACAGCTGTGATCATCATCAAGGAGGACAACGTCTTTGCAAGGGCACTGTTGAACTCTAGAACATCCTTGTTGTACGACGCTGTGATGAGGCAGCAGCCGAAGATCTGTATTTATCTGTCAGTCAGGTGATAGACCACCGCTGGTACGTTGATAATGTGAGGGCTTACAAGCAGAATATCTGAAAGAATACTGCCAACCATGACAGACTGCGCAAATGGGATCTGGTTATGAACTAGAGCCAGAATGCCCGCCTAGGTAGACTGCGTGAGTATTATATCATTTCAACATTCAGGGCAATAATTGTAACTCACCGTGAGCTCTACGGTATTTCCGAATGTAGCACTGAGTAAGGCACCTTGCAGTTCTCCAAGATGCTCAGCGAGTTCATCGGATGAGATAGATATGGCCTCGGACAAGAATATTATGGCGACGATATTCACCACGAGAACTATGGTCGCATGCCAATGAAATATTTTTGCAAGTCCGGCAAGAGGTAGCAAAACCATAACTGGCCATCCGTGATTGATATTCAGTTCATTCAGTCCTGTTTGAGATGGCATCTTAAAGAATCCCTGGATGCGAGTCCAAGGGTCTATATCTGCATCTTGAATTTGCTGTCGCTGTTGACGCTGATAGCGACTGGGCTCTAGTCCACGGGACTCTGGTTGCGTGTCTCGACGAGAGAGCATGGTAAATTTGGAGAAATGCTCTCAGGTTAAAGTGTTGAAGCTTAGGTGATGGGACCCTCGGGATACCGGGGAAATCAGTTGGGCCAACGAAGGTTCCAACGTTGGATCTTGGGAACAGTTGTGTTTCAAATGTTACCACGGTACAAATACGGGATACTAGTAATATTCCACGTTAATTAAAGTTACAGCCCTATTACTAGCGCCAAACAGAACTGTCTTGTCTCCACTGGGGAAATGGGGGTTGACACCGTAGGGCTGAACCGGAATTTAGCCGTTCGATACATGATGTACTTAAAATATATGTATACATACAGTATACCGCTTTCAGGCAACAGCATTTTTTTATATTAAATCTCAGCCTTATGGGATACATTACGAGCTATAAATATACGATTTCTTGGAATGAGGATCGTCATATTACTTGTCAATAATTTACTCGGGGAACACCGTCTTCGACCCCTCTCTCTGCTCGGTATTGTCATTATGGAACATTGACATTCGTGTCCCCCCCACATACCCACCTTGGCAATGCGTTGATTATTATCTCTTGACAGCATCACATATCGGTCGCGCAGTTCTATCTTCAACACATCTCTTCACCCAAAGCTCATCCAATACGGGTAAGTGATTGAGAGCCTATCAAACCATTCACACAACCTACCACCGAAGTTGCATGATCTCTTTTGCGCTGCCTGTGATCTATGGACAGACCCCCTCCCTCCCTCGAGTCGCTCCAGAGGGAGGTCAGTGAACTCGTGACCACATATCATGGCCGAAACTTGACGACCGCAGCAACAGACCTGGAATCGGCAATAACGACAGCAAAGAATCGCGTGCGCGCGCCAGGCGCAGATTCTGATGCAACGACAATAACACTCGAAGAGTTAAGCGCTTGTGTAAAGAAATGGCTGCAGGCCAGCTCATGGGGGTTTGCCGAAGACCTAGGCATTCTAGTGCTGGATTCCTGCGAGAGCCTGAAGGGAGAGCGAGATTTTATGACCATGACAGCGATGAACAATCTCGTTTCGGCATATTGGGGCCTCGAACAGCTGGATAAGGCTGCGGCTCTCGCTGTCCGGGTGACCAACTTGAGACGGAGTATTCTCGGCGAGGCGCATCCCCAGACATTGGCTTCGATGACGAATTTAGCTTCCACATATCGCAGTCAGGGGCGCTGGATCGAAGCTCAAGAACTTGATGCGAGGATTTTCGAGATGAAGGAGAGGACTATCGGTCCCAGCCATCCATCCACCTTGGTCTCAATGTCCAATTTGGCTACATCGTATGCCGGTCTCGGTCGGTTCGCAGAGGCTGAAACAATTGCGCGCCGACTGGTCGATCTCGGGGGAAAAGAATTACCTGCAACCCATTCATCACTGTTGAGCTGGAAGCTTACTCTGGCATCGACTCACCGAGATCAGGGGAGGCTCGACTCCGCCGAACAGATAGAACAAGAGATTGTCGCTGTTAGTCGAGACATATTTGGGACAAATAATAAATTCACCCTGACCTCTATGGCCAACCTTGCATCTACATACCGGCTTCAAGGCCGATGGTCGGATGCCGAGCGCCTTGAAAGAGAAGTCGTGGCTGTCAGCAAGACCGCGCTCGGCGAAACACACTCCCAAACGCTGATGTCCATCAGCAACCTTGCCTCAACATGTCGCGGTCAAGGCCAGCTCGAAGAAGCCAAAGATCTCGGGGAGAAAGCAACGGCTTTGATGAACGAGGTCCTCGGGGAACGTCATCCAAGCACACTGGCTGCCATGGCGGATCTCGCAGCGACATATCATATGATGAGGAAATCACCAGATGCCGAGAACCTGACAGCCCGGTCTGTGCATTTGATGGAAGAGACTTTAGGCAAAACCCATCCGCACACACTCGACGCGATGGCCAATCTGGGCTTTATATACCAGTCACAAAGCAAGTGGGACCTCGCCAGTGAAATAGCCGAAGCGGTCTATTCTGGCAGGGTGAAGATATATGGAACGGATCACCCAGATACCGTGGCGGCGCAGGAGGCTCTGAGGAGGGTAGCATGGGTAGAAGCAGCAGATCGGACTACACAGCATACGTTGGATCAGCATGTACTGCGTACGTTGAATTAGGCTCTCTTTTGGGCTTGGGATGTGGAGAGGCATTGCCGAATTTTCCCAGCGCCGTTAGTCAATATCTAGCCAGTTAGCCATTTTTAATCAATTTTTTTTCGAATTCAGTGACCAATTGTCAAGCTTCGTTGGCGCCGGTGCACCTCTTTTGAACTATTTAGATGGAGGGGTCAGCCAGCCTTGGGCATTGATATGGTCTTTAGTCTTGCACAGCCTCCTTGCCAAGACTTGAGACTGTCGACAATCTTCTTGTGTGATATATAGGGCTTGGGGGAGTAGAGTAGACAGCATAGCCCTGTGAGAAATTTAGTTGCCTGCTCTAGGACTTTGATTGTGCATTAAGCTGCATATATCGTCCTCGTACACGGAGCACGGAGTGGCTTGTCGAACATCTTCCGAGTCAATGATACAGCATTGATGTCTAATACTATAAACATTCACGTCGGGTTATAATATTTTGATATCCTGTCTCCTATTTATTCTTCAGAAATAATAGACCTTACCTATGTAAATATCGTACGTATGTATGTATATTTCGCATCTACCTGCCTTACGCCAAGCTGCCGTATTTTAAAGTTCCTCCCCTTTTTTACGCGTATTTGTATTTCAACAGGAAACATCCCATGTGGGCATCTGAGCACTTCCTCTCTGATTTTATCCATCTAATTCTCTCGATGAGATTCTCCATGAAATGACGCCAACTTCAGGCGCCAATGGGTCTCGTGTGTCTTCTTTTTGGTCGCGAATAGTGAGTTTAACGATGGTGAGGCCTAAAAATGCGTCTTACTGATACCCAGAAGAACCCGCGATCAAAACGTGTCACAGAACAATCCGCCCAATCGACTTTTTCGACTTTTTCCCTGAATCCCGACAAATTAGGCGACCTTGTACAATCCAAAGATGTCCAGGAGTTCCATGCCCTCGGTGGGTTAACAGGTTTAGAGGAAGGACTGCGAACCGACCTCCACTCCGGTCTGAGCCTGGACGAGACATTCCTAGATGCTCCTGTGAATGTCGCGGCGAGTATTACAAGCACCGCACCAACAGAAAAGGTCGTTATCCATGAACCACCAATCCCGACAGAGCTCAGTCACGATGCATTCATCGATAGAAGGAAATTCTTCGGGGACAATCGCCTACCCATAAAACCATCCCCGAGCTTCATATCATTGATGTGGGCAGCCTACAACGACCATGTGCTATTCCTTCTAACAGGCGCTGCTATTATCTCGCTTGCTTTAGGGCTGTACCAGACATTTGGAACTAAGCATACTCCTGACAACCCGCCCGTTGAATGGGTGGAGGGCGTTGCCATCCTCGTCGCTATTGTCGTCATTACTCTTGCCGGTGCTGCGAACGACTATCAAAAGGAGTACAAGTTCCGGAAACTCAATAAGAAACAGCAAGATCGTAATGTCTGGGTCCTTCGATCTGCGAGGGTTCATGAGGTTCCTATATCAGAGGTTGTTGTTGGTGATATTGTCCAGATCAGTCCTGGGGATATCGTGCCTGCTGATGGGGTGTTGATAAGGGGCCATCAGGTCAAATGCGATGAGTCCTCGGCAACTGGCGAGTCTAATCCGGTTGATAAGAGCATTATCGATACAATTGGTCCTGATGGCTCTCATGAGGTCGACCCTTTCATCCTCTCTCATACCAAAGTCGTGGAAGGAGTCGGTATGTACCTTGTCTTGGCTACAGGCACGAAATCAAGCTACGGAAGAATCCTACTCTCTCTCGACACCGATCCAGGGTTCACCCCGCTTCAAGTACGGCTCAGCAGTCTTGCAAAGAACATCGCGCGCTTTGGTGCACTTGCGGCGCTTGTACTGTTCGTAATCTTGTTCATCCAGTTCTGTGTCGGTCTCCGGAATAGCACCGAAACAGCCTCGGAAAAGGGACAATCGTTTTTGAATGTTTTCATTCTGGCCTTGACTGTCGTTGTGATCGCAGTCCCCGAAGGACTTCCCTTAGCAGTTACACTTGCGTTGTCGTTTGCCACTACTCGAATGATGAGAGACAACAACTTGGTTCGGCAGCTCCGAGCATGTGAAACGATGGGACAAGCCACGGATATCTGTTCAGACAAGACGGGAACGCTGACACAAAATGAAATGACTGTTGTCTCGGGTTTCTTTGGAGCTACCTCGAAATTTACTGATCGAGCTAGCAGTACAAACATTTTGGACGAAGAAAAGTCCTCATCTGTGGCAAAATGCATGAGCGGTCTCTCGGGTCAATCGAGGTCGCTTTTGAGGCAATCTATCGCGATCAACTCGACTGCAATTGAAAGCCAATATGACGGGGGTCGGCAGTTCCTTGGGCCCCAAACAGAGGCCGCCTTATTAAGATTCTCCCAGGACTATCTCGAGCTTGGTCAGGTCAACGTTGATCGTGCTAGTGTGGAAGTTGTGGATCTTTTGCCCTTTGATGCTTCTCGCAAATACATGGTCACAGTTGTAAAACTGGCTAGTGGGTTATATCGATCGTATGTGAAGGGTGCTCCTGAGATTCTCCTTGGGAAATGTGTGGCCACAATTGCACAGCCAATGCAGGGGCTTGATACTGCTCCAATCACCGAGGAGGGTATTGAACAAATACGCCAGACAATTACTCAGTATGCCTCACGATCCTTGCGCACCATTGCGATTTGCTTCCGTGATGTTGAGGATTTGCCTTTTAGAGGCGAGGGGGAAACTGTCGACTTTGAAGAGCTGATAAAAGGGCTTACATTTCAAGGAATTTTGGGTCTACAAGACCCTCTCCGGGTCGATGCTTGGGATGCTGTAGATACCAGCCATAAAGCAGGTCTCACTGTGCGCATGGTTACCGGTGACAACCTTCTAACAGCAAGAGCCATTGCAGAAGAATGTGGAATTATCAATAGTCCAGATGATCTTGTGATGGAAGGCGATGAATTCCGTGCGCTAGACGAATTACAGCAGAAGGAGCTAGTTCCACGCCTCAAAGTTCTTGCTCGATCTCGTCCAGATGATAAACGCGTTCTGGTACAGCGTCTGAAGGAGCTTGGGAGAGTCGTTGCTGTCACTGGAGACGGCACCAACGATGCCCCCGCCCTTGCAGCTGCTGATATTGGATTCTCGATGGGAATATCTGGCACTGAAATTGCTCGTGAGGCTTCCTCTATTGTCCTGCTGGATGATACATTCTCTTCGATTGTCAAAGCTATCATGTGGGGAAGAGCAGTCAGCGATGCCGTCAAGAAATTTTTGCAGGTAAGCTAGAGGCTCTATCAACAAGGAGTATAAATACTCGACCGATCTAATATCCTCTCTCCAGTTCCAAATCACCATCACCTTCACCTCCGTGGGCCTGGCATTTGTCTCGGCGGTAGCCAACTCGTCACAGCAGTCGGTTCTGACACCAGTGCAGCTCATGTGGGTAAACCTCTTCCAAGACACTCTTGCCGCTCTGGCGCTAGCAACTGACCCTCCTCCTCGCCGGATCCTTAACCGCAAACCTGAAGCAACATCTACACCTTTGATTACTCCTACCATGTGGAAGATGATTATTGGCCAATCTGTGTATCAGATGGCAGTAACACTCGTCCTGTACTTCGCGGGGGCTTCTATTTTCTCTTATCACAGTGCTCTTCAAACATCGCAGTTACAGACTGCTGTTTTCAATACCTATGTCTGGATGCAGATATTCAACATGTACAAGTATGTTGAGACTACCCTCATTTTTCGTCTTACTAACCCCAGCACAGCAATCGACAAATTGAGCGATCATTTAACCTCATCGAAGGAATTCATCATAACTGGCTCTTCATAGCAATCACCTGCATCATGACGGGCGCTCAAATCCTCATTATGTTCGTCGGCGGGCGGGCATTCTCAATCACAAAGTTGACTGGCGATCAATGGGCATATTCCATCGTTCTTGGTGCCATATCTATTCCCTTCGGGTTTCTTCTACAGGCTATTCCCACTGTCGTTATTGATAAACCAATGGCAGGCATGGGGAGGCTATGGGACCGCTTGCGCCGTCGGTGATTCTCCCGTTTTTCCTTCCCTCTCTTTTCTTTTCTTTTCTTTCTGTTTTATTCTTTCCTCCTTGATCAATCGCGCGAGCGTCTTTGAATCTTGCATGGCCATCCAGACGGAACAGCCGTAAACTGGCTCTTGAATACCCACTCTTTTTTAGCATCCACTTGCTCAATATCATAGTCTCTTATCAGTGTTGCCATTAGTTTCAGTAGCTCAAATTGAGCAAGGTTGCGGCCAGGGCATTGGTTGTACCCGGCTCCCCACTATAATAGATATGTTAGCACATATTTCAAAGTGGTGTAGATGGTATCAAATACATACATGGATCAAAAATGAGTCGATATAAGTGGTATCGGTTTCAAGCCAGCGGTCTGGGTTGAAGCTGTTGCAATCCTCGCCGAAGATTTGCGGGTTTCGATGGAAGACCCACGTGTTGATACTGAGAACCACCTAGACATCGAGTCAGCATTAAATAAAGAACTAAACGGTACAGAGCCCATGCGGCTTGGCTTATCTTACTCCTTCAGGGAAATATCTGCCGGCAATAGTCATTCCACCTTGTGGCACGACTCGGGGAAGGCCACCAACAGCAGCCGAGTGGAAACGGTACGTCTCTTTCAACTATTCAAAATGTCAGCTGAAGACGCCTGGAATTGATTCCCCGCAAATGGCTACTTACACAAGCCTGAAGGAACGGCAACTTCTGCGCCTCATTATACTGCACCATGGGCGAGAGTTCACCGCGATCCTGAGCAGCATCAATCTCATCGCGCAGTCGCTGCAAATAGTGCGGATGACGCAGGAGGTAGTAAACAAACGCCTGAGCTGTCGCACCGACAGTCTCGGCCCCAGCCCCGATATTCGCAACAGCCGCCGCAAAGATCTCATTCTCCGCCATGCGATCAGGATATTTAGCCCGAACATCCAGCCAGCGCTGCATCATATCATTTCTTGTTTCGGGGTTTTTCTTGCGTGCATCAATAGCAGCAAGACAGGTATCGAAGACATGCGACGAAGGCTGGATGCCAATGCGGCTCAGAAGCGGGTTTCCGAGCGTCAGGTTGTGTAGCCAGGTATAGTGGCCCATGACTGCGATATAGAGGGCCAGGGCTTTGGTGTTTGCAACCGCGTCTCTGATGTCTGTGCCTGTTTCCACGAAGCCGAAGGATTTCGAGAATGTCACTTCGCCCAACGCGTCGAAGGCAAAGAAGCTGAACCATTTGTCGAAATCCACTGCCTCGTTGCTTTTGCTTAATTCGTCGAAGCGCTCTTCAAGACTGTGGAGGATTTCGTCTACGTGTGGCTCGGATTTGATGATGTTTGATAGTGCGAAGCCGGCGGCTATGTTCCGTGACTTTTCGATGTGTCGTTTTGGGTTCAATTCGGACATCTGGTTCACATAGTGGTAGTCTGGTAGGCTGAAGATTGAGTACCAAGGGCCCTTTTTGAATAATTGTGAATACCGGATATATTGAAAACGGGATAAGTACACACTTTTGCTATATTTGCTTGGAGGAGCTGCTTTACTGCGTCTGGATGAGAGACACTGACTTCATTCTCAGCAATGCGAACAAAATATCCTGGCATGCTTGTTAGAATCTAGAATGAAAGCAACAATAGATAAACCAACCATGCTTCTTGTGGAGATCAATGAGTTCTTGCTCGCCATGACCCTTCCACAAGTGGTAAACCTGCCATAATTTCGAAAAAGAAGCCAAAAACGGGCCGGGTATATCTCTGATCGGCGTCCAATATTTGCGAACCACCGCCCGCACGATAAACAAAACAAACCCTAACACCGATAGCTTGAACAAAGTGAGCACGGCCGCCCCGGACACAAGTAAAGAAAGCATCTCAATTGAAGATCTCTGACATACACAGTCCCGCGCACGTAGGGGGATGAAGTTTTATTTATGGGATTTGGCGTGAGGGGAATGATTAGGATTAAACGTACTCTTAACACACAGACCATTCATAAAGATAATGCTTTGTTCATAACTTCTCCTGAAAATGGTCATTGTAGTATATTCTCCGCTGTCTTGCATCGATCTAAGCTGGAATAGTGAAACTAACGTGCATTGGCGTTGGCCATGTCGAGTCCATGTGGGGCTGGGGCTTGGTAGTTGCGCTGACGCTAACTCGGAGATGGGCTGCTAGCACATATCGGTCATAGCTCTAGGTAGCTGCGTTATCTCGCAATGATTTGATTCGTTGGTTTAAAATTTTGTGCCGCAGGGATCGTAGGTCGGATATTAGAGCGGAGTCGCCTCGTTTTGAGAAAAGTCTAGAGGGTCGCTTACGTTTTTTGTTGGACTGGCTAGGGGTCTGTTTTATCACAGTTCGTTGCCCTCAACTTCATATTCCGGGGAATATAATCAATTCTTCAAATGCCCACTTCGGCATGACGTCCTCTGAGTATTCGGCGGTCTTTTTGGCAGAGGACCGCCGCCAGCCGGCGATTATCGGCATGGCCGTTGTTACGACGCTCTCGTTGGTTGTCGTTCTGGTTCGACTGTATGCTCGGGGGTATCTGATCCGTGAGCTGGGATGGGATGATCTCACAATCGTGATCGCACAGGTAAATATGCTTGACCTCCGAATGACTCGCGACCTCTGGTAGAAAGTTGACATCCATCTAGATAGTCAGCTGGATAGTTCTGGGGCTTTCAGTGGTGGTCTTTCATTATGGCTCTGGTCAGCATCTTGCAGCGTTGATGAAGAACCCGGAGACCCTGGTGCATATGTATAAGTGGCTTGTTGGAGCTCAACTCGTGTATATGTTCAATTTGTGGCTGTGTCGCATCTCCGGCATTACCTTCTATGCTCGTCTCAACCAAATGCCACGATTTATCCTCTATCTCCGGATGTCTTTCGCTTTTGTGACGGTTGTGTTTGTGGCGCAGACACTCATTGTCGCATTGCAGTGTGTTCCTCTCGCTGCCCTGTGGGGCGGCGAGGAAGGTAAATGCATGGGCTCTGTGACCGTTTTTATTTCAACTTCTGTGCTCACTATCGTCTGTGACTTGCTTGTGCTGTTGTTGCCAATGCACATTGTCTTCTCGCTGCAGGCAAAGCTAGCAAGAAAGCTAGCATTGGCACTTGTACTTTGCGTGGGAGTTTTGTAAGTTCTCTCCTTTTCTTCGACAGCAGTGAATGAAATGAAGTAGCTAACATCTATATATTTAGTGCGGTTGTGTAAGCATTTGTCATCTTTCCCAGTTGCTGCCTGTTAACTCACAGAATATAGAACGTCCATTCTCCGAATGATCTCCATGATAGTCGCGTTGCAACACCCGGATGATGCGACTTGGTATTTCTCGGTCGTGATGGCGTGGTCTACTGCAGAGATTAGTGCTGCCATCATCGCTCTTTCTCTCCCGGCGTTGCGAGCTTTGTTCGGATTCTGGAATAGAAATCGATCGACGAATCACAGTAGCTCAAATGAGACTACCACGATTGGTCTTCAGTTCATACCTCGGTCGAGACAGCAGCCTATACTGGACGGAGATGACGGACATGACGGACATGACACTCATGACGGACATGCCGAACATGACACTCATGAGACGACATTCGATGTGGACTAGGGGATAAACCGGAGTCAGGAGACACTTTGGGGTGTCAAGAATGGGGAGATTGGAGTCAAGCATACGGGTGTTGATAGACCCGGGTTCCGGTAGACCATAGTATGATGTTGTAGCGGGAAAGTATCTTGGCTCAGCATCTTGGCTCAGTATCTACTGAGTCAATCCAAAAATGAAATGCTTCGATATACTCAGAATTCATGAGAATCAATGTGATGCCCGGACATATTTTCCCCCTATCATGAAGTAGCCAATGACTGTTCAGCCCGTTTCTTCTGGCCTAACTTATTTTGTTTAGATCACTTAAGAATTTCCCATCTTGACGCCCGACTCAACGCCCGGTGCTAGTTTGAAAGATCTCTTTCAGAATGTTATGGAGTAGTGAAAAGCGAGGTCGTATCGGGATGTATCCATTTAGAGATGCAGATTCAGACACACTACCAAATCATACGGTATTTCAGGGAGTAAGTTTGGAAAGAGTTCTGACTAGGCAGAAATCAGATATCTTAACAAGAAGGTACCTCGGGGATAGATCGATGCAATTGATTCGTTGTTTCTGATATTACAGGTGGTCATGCGAGCGTTGGCTAAACTGGCTTAGGACAAATGCGAACGCCTTCTAACTAGTGGGGCAAGAAATTCCCTCAGTGTTATATAGGACATATATTAGTAATATTCATTTATATGGACCTTTTCAGGTTGTCTCACGTCTCTTATTGTACACACGTGGGCATATTCTTCTTTTACTCAGCCATACATATTGCCCAGGCTGTAAATTCCTTGGAAGTACATCAAGTCATATTCAGCTCCAATTTTTTTCCCGACCTTTTGCCGCCACCAATTGCTTGTGGCTGTTAAGACTGGACAGATTCCTAGGGTACAGGTAAATAAGAGCACGTGTGCATTTTGTTCGGAATGCCCGATCCACTGACGGAGGGGGAATACTGTAAAGGGGATGGTTTCTAGAACACAAACCCCCACCTGGGACAGAAGTTGATAGAGGTTGGGAGGTCAATAGAAGGTCAAGTCTGGGGATGAACCTCTTATACACCCACGTGTAGTCTTACGGGACTCTCATAGGTAGAGGTGGGCCGTGCGCCCCCACCCCCGCCAAGAGCCGCAACTGTCCAATGGGAAGATCCCTGCAACCAATCAGATGTCCTCTTTATAGAAATCTATATGAACTTCACCCAAGCTAAACTCAATTCGGATATAATTCCATCGCTTCCATCGCATGTCAAAATCAAAATTGTCCTGCCAAGATCTTATCCAATTTGCTTGAGACCATAAGCTTGTGGAAAATGGAGCTCCTTCTCTCTTGGCCAGGCCTTGTTACATTCACTTTCTGCCAAGACCTCATGGGCTTCCATTGCGAGTAGGACAAGCACGTGTGGTCTGCATTTCCTAAATTGGAAGTTGTCCTGGGTGTAGGGTGCTCGCCACAGTGCCCTGTCGTGCATAGAAAATATCAATTTGGAATACATACATAAAAAGGCACTCTCACCTTGTTCTTTGTTTTCTCTTTCCTCAGACACACTTCTCAAACATCAAAAGCTTTGTGACTTGAGAGATACACACCTATCAAGATGTATCTCCACCAATACGATTACGTCTTTGCCATCGGCACATTGTTTGCAATGCTTGATGCATTCAACAATGGTGCAAGTGAGTAACATTGATCATCTTCTATACCCTGGCAGAAAAAAAAACTAACCCCTTATGCTTTCTTCCTAGACGATGTTGCCAACTCCTGGGCTACCAGTGTTTCCTCCCGATCTATCTCATATCGCCAGGCTATGGTCCTCGGTACAATTTTCGAATTCGTCGGAGCTATCGCTGTCGGTGCCCGTACCGCTGATACTATCAAGAACGGTATCATTCCCAACGATGTCTTCAAGGACAACCCAGGTGTTCAAATGCTTGCCTTCACATGTGCCCTTGCCGCTGCATCCTCATGGGTCATGTGGTGTACCAAGAACTCCGCCCACGTCTCCTCCACCTACTCTCTCATCTCCGCTGTTGCCGGTGTCGGTGTTGCGACTGCTGGTGCTTCCAAGGTTCAGTGGGGCTGGAACGATGGTAAGGGTCTCGGTGCTATCTTCGCTGGTCTCGGCATGGCCCCCGCCATCTCCGGCTGCTTTGCCGCCATCATCTTCTCCTTGATCAAGTACACTGTCCACGTGCGCAGAAACCCTATCCCCTGGGCCGTCTGGACTGCTCCTTTCTTCTTCCTTGTTGCTGCCACCGTTTGTACCGTCTCCATTGTGTACAAGGGTTCCCCCAGCCTCGGCCTGAGCAAGAAGCCCGCCTGGTATGTGGCTGCTGTCACTATGGGCACTGGTGGCGGTGTCTGCCTTCTGTCTGCCATCTTCTTCGTTCCTTTCCTCCACGCTCGCGTGATCAGGAAGGACCCCAGTGTCAAATGGTGGATGGTCATCCAGGGCCCTCTCCTCTTCAACCGCCCCATGCCCACCGATTCCGAGGTCTCCACGGTCCCCAACTACGCTGTCGTGCAACATGATGATGATGAAGACACCCACCTGCCCATCGATGAGAAGGAGCCCAGGACCGGTGTTGCCTCCATCCCCAGCTCTACCGAGGAGCGATCCGTTGAGAAGCTCGAGGCCAACCAGCCCAGCTACCGTGAACTCATGGACCAGTCCGAGGCCCGTCACAACGCCAAGCTCCTCCGAAGCCGTGGTCCCATTGGCTGGGCTATGCGCCTTCTCCGCGACAACCCTCTGGGCCCCGGTGAGATCTACGAGGTCCGCAACATGATCATCACTCTTAAGCGCATCCCCGCCCACATCACTGTCGCTCTTCTCTACGGTTTCCACTACGATATCCACTCCGCCCAGTCCGGTAACGAGGGTACTCCCGAGGGTGAGCGCATGAAGCGTGTCTACGCCAACGCCGCCAAGTACCCCAACGAGGTCGAGCACACCTACTCTTTCATCCAGATTATCACCGCTTGCACTGCCTCCTTCGCCCACGGTGCCAACGATATCGGTAACTCCGTCGGCCCCTGGGCTGCCATCTACTCCGCCTGGTCCACCGGTGATTACGTCGGTGCCAAGTCCCCCGTTCCTATCTGGCAGCTCGCTGTTATGGCCGGTTGCATTTCCATCGGTCTTTGCACTTACGGATACAACATCATGAAGGTCATGGGTAACAAGATCACCTACCACTCCCCCTCCCGCGGTTCCTCCATGGAGATGGGTGCCGCCATCACCGTCCTGGTCTTCTCCCAGTACTCCCTGCCCGTCTCCACCTCCATGTGCATCACTGGTGCCACTGTCGGTGTCGGTCTGTGCAACGGAACCCTCAAGGCCGTCAACTTCCAGCGTGTCGGTCTCTTGTTGTTTGCTTGGATCATGACCATCCCCATCGCTGGTACCCTTGCTGGATGTCTTATGGGAATTGTCCTCAACGCTCCCCACTGGCTCCCCATCACTGCAACCGCTGCTACCGCCGCTGCCTAAGCATTTGGCATCTATGATACACCCGTGAAAATTTTTTGAACAGCGCACATATTTTACTTAATTCTTGTTTTTGAAATACCAATTTAGACAGTCAATCGATCATTCATGCATTACTGAAACAATCATTTCATTATTTAGGCCAGTAGATTTTAGAAGAGTTACTAGTTTATGGTCATATTATTATTGAAGATAGGAATTTTCCAATTGAAACTACTGTTAATTGATGACCTCCATGATTTAAGATAACAACCATACATAGTTTGCCACTCATGCCTCTGTTCTTGCTGATGCACGTACTCTGTATATTTCTCCCAGATAATAAATATTCAAAAATGTTTACATGTGAACACTCGGATGTGTTTCAGGATGTTCTTTCTACATGTTCTTTTCGGACATTGTTTTTATATGTACTTTGTATACGGCGGTGGCACAGATGATAGAGTGTACAAACGGCTTTTACATGTAGTATATATAACCTTTGGAGGGGAAAAAAAAGTTTAGGTGCTTCAAATGTCCCTTCGGTTCTAAAGGGCAAAAAAATAAAAAGACACAAAAAAAATAGTTTCCCTGGGAATCGAACCCAGAACCTTTCCGGAACATCTGCTAATCGCATTTGTTAACGGAAAATCATAACCGCTAGACCAGGAAACTGTTAGGCCACTTGGACCAATTGATGTAAGAAATTTCCAGTATTGACATTATAACTGAAAATAAAATTCCTGTTGCATAGATTGTCATTTTTTAGGGCTTGAAACAATACCATTATATTTGTCTCTAGGGATGAATTTACAGGAATTTATTGTTAGTTTATCACGCTAGGCTACTTCATCTAATGCTAGATTATGAAACTCGGTATCGAAGGAAAACTCCATCAAATCAATTCATACATATATTCGCACATGTGGTTACATATTCTGACGCATTGTTTGCAAGTCTCAATCCGTCCCGAACTTACATCTCCCTAGCAACCTTGACCAACTCATCTCTTTCTCTTCGCAGGTATTCATAAGTGACGATCTTATTACGAGCCTGCTCTTCAATCGATGCCCATTCCTCAGGGGAAATAGTGATTTCGCCATTCTGTTTCGGGAAAATGGTCATTGGGCGGCTGCGTTTTGCTAGGCCGACCTTGAAAAAACCGAGTCGGAATTGAGTCTGCTTTGTCAATTCATAGGGGGCTCCAAATACGAATGCTTCTTTCGGACGCTCGTAGGGTTCTGCGTTGACTACTGATGTGAGGCCCATCTGGAAACATTCTTGTCTGAACCGGTCCCGGGCTGATCCCGGCTTGGGCATTTCGTACGCAGATTGTCCACTCGGAACTTTGACTGGAGCTGTGGTCGGGTTAGTGGGGAGCTCTGGTTTTTGGGGGCTGCCAGGGGTGCCTGGAGAGTTTGCCTTTTCATCTGCGTTCTTATGTGTTTTGCCATCTGCAACATCTGCAGGGCCTCCACTGGGGTCGTCGTCATCATCATCATATTCATCCTCAGTATCGGTATCGGTGTCCTCTCCAGAATCACTCCAAGACTCGTATCCAAGCTCCTCTGCAAGGACCTTCCCAAGAACCTCATTTTTCGAGCTCATCTGGTTATCCACCCCTTGCTGAATATGCTCCTTGTCCACCTTTTTTTGAATCGGCACCTTAGATCGGGGCTTTCTGATTTTAGTAAGCGGACGTTGCTTGACCAAAGGTAACTGCAGTTTGAGGAGAGCCCCCTTCCAAGTCCTCAATGGTCGCTTGCGTTTATCTTCGGTCGAGACAGAGTTGTTCGCAGACTTTTCAAATTTAGCATGTGCTGCGATAGCCGCCTCATGAGCACGCAGTCTTGCAAACCGAGTATTATCACTAATTCCATGCCTGGTGATATCCAGATAAAAGCTCAGGTCCTGGCATTCGACGCCCTCGTTCGGATCCATGGCGCAAGCATTTGCTTTCACGAAGTGTTTGTGAGCTTTGCTCATATTTCCGCGCAGAAACTCAACCCGTCCCATCCAAAACTCACACTTGGCAACGAGGAGCGGGTTCTTAGATAGATTTGCAGATTGCCTGGCGAGATTGACCATGATTTCGGCTTCGGAGGCGTTTTCGTTGCCGATGAAGTTCGAGGCTGGTAAGAGGTATGAACTAACCTCGACTTGATAGTACATATGGGAGATATCTCCATCGGTCAGTTCGACGGACATGTTGTGGATGAGTCTTGCAAGAAGCTCGAGCTTTTCCTCTCGTACAGCACGGGCTTCGAGTATGAGATCTTGCTCTTCTTGAGAAGAGAGGGGAGGCGTGGTCTGCCAAGAGCCCCTGCCATTGTTCACACGGGATGTGCTGCCGGACATGATTGGAGCTGACGGAGCCTTAGGGGTGGGCCTTGGTAGATATGTGAAGCAGATATGATGGGATTGCTGTTTGTATTGCAATGATTCAAAATTTTCTGTCAGATGAAAGAGATGGAAGAGAATATTGATAGCTCGGGCGTTGATGGAGGAAGATAGCAAGAAAGAAGTAGTAGCTCTTATGTATCCCATAGACGTGTCGATAAGAACGACAAAAAACGCGTTGAAAGGGGCTTGACCCAGACAAATTCGAGACAAAGCTGTTTGTTTACAGGGATACCGAGATTTGAGTCTTTCTTTCCTTTGTTTGCTTCAATCCCATTGTTAACCTCACTGAGGCTGAAACGGCGCATCTATTATTCTGTTCTCTTTGTTTATCTTTTGGTTTAGTCCGTAAGTTTGAGAAAGGAAGAAATAAAATGAGTTACTACATGTATGCAGTACCAAATATTCTCTACCTAATCCCAGAGGTGTTGGCGAGGTCAAGATATACATACGTCGGGTGTACCCTAGTAGATAAAACTGTGGAGTATATACTAAACATGCTGGGAAATAATTTAGACAGAAGATTTCTGTTACAATTTACGTTAAACTGAAGCTCAAACTGTGGAAATTTGGTTTATTGGACTATTTCTATGGAAGCACTATTCATAAGCTTGAGAACATCACAACAAGGTATTCCCATAGAAGAATATTCAAAGTCTTTCGCCTTCATTTAGGGAGAGTAAGTCCAGGCTTAGCTCAAAGAATGGATTTACTGAAATTTAGGAATGAATGACAACGCAAAGCGCCCAGGTACTATACCAAGCCGCTCCGAGCATCACACCCTCACACACCCCTCAGATAACCTAAATCTTGCTATCCCCCCTTTCCAACCTGATTCGCAATATCAATCTGATTCCCGGGACTTTTCACCCAGACTACTGTATGACCGCGATAAATACATTTGTAGATACAAGCTGAATTACTTATTGCGAGAGTCAGGCATCAACGAATGACCCAGAGGAAATACCCGAGTAGCGACATTAAACAAATGTATAGTCTTTTAGAAGTTGGTTTCATTTTCAAGATGAGTCACTATCTTCCCAGTCTAATAATGCGTGGGTAGACGCTGCCGGTGCGTAATCAAATTCAGCAGCCTCTATGCGAGTAAATCCAATGATAGCCTCCCTTTGACACTCACGGGCCTTTTCGCTGTAGCCTGGGATATACAGTGCTCGCGAAAGCGACCAATAAGCCTCTAGGAACCTTTCAAGTTTCATGAGGTTCATTCCTTTGATAAAATGAGTAATGCCGGTGATAATACTAGATTCTGGATTATTGAAGACGGTATAGCAGGTATTAATTTGCACAACCATCTCTAGGGTCGCCATAGACTCTTCATATTGGCGAAGATAGTGTTGAACAGCAGCGATAAAAAGTCGACATCGCATCTCATCGAGTTCACACAGAAAAGGGTCATGACTGATGACTCGCGAGGCAAGCTCCATTGCAAGCTCTGGGTCATTATGCCGCCACCGCTCTTCTGCGTCTATTAGGAATGAATCACTGTCTGAACAGAGCCAGATATCATCGATACAGGTTGGCACTCTCTCTGTTGGCGAAATTGTTCTAGGAATGTCAGATTGATATTCCGAATCAGGTCGGAAAGGGGGAATAGCAAGATTTAGGTTACCTGAGGTGGTGTGTGCGGGCATAGGGTCGTGCTCGAGCTGCGTCTGAATATTGTTTAATGCATGAATGGCTTGAGCCAGTTCTTGTTCTAGCCCGGCTAATTCGCGGTTCAAATTGTTAATGACGGTGTCTTTATTCTTAGAGGCGGACCGCCGGGACTTGATGGCCTTGCGCAGACGTCGAAAAATGTTGGCCATTTTAGGATGGGAATACCTTGTTGTGATGTTCTCAAGCTGATGAATAGTTCATTTGAGATGATTCTTTCGGGGTTTATATACTCGTCCGTCGAGCAGGCCGGGGGACTTCCTATACTGATGAAAGGGACCATTATTTCTTTGAATAAAATATTATTATACTGGAGACTAAGAAAGATTGTCTGAAACATGCTGTCAAAGTGCAAGGTTGAATACATGGATTTTACATGGTATTATACCATGTAGATCACATGATTTCGAGTACTCGGCATACCATGTATTACGCTTAGTCATCATTACCGCTCAGATTGTTGAAATAGCGGGTTTTTGTCATTTATGTTAGTTAGAGTCATCCACATCTGCCAGTTGTACCATACATTTGCAATACAGACAGATTTCTGTCACATGCTTCCAAGGTTTGTTCCAAGGCTTTGTATTTGTACTAAACATAGACTACATTATGCAAACCAAGCAAACGTTACAAATATACAAACTAACCAAACTAACCAAATAGGGCAAACTTTACAAAAGCGGCAAACACCTGCATATGACATCACCCCGTAGTCCCCGAGTTCTCCACTACAGCATCTCGACTGGCAAGATGCAACCACAAAAGTGGAATGCCCGGCATGAAACGGTATGGCTTGGGTGAGTCAACTGTTTGTCTGCTTGAATCTGTCCAATCTGATACGGGGCTTTTTGCAACAAGCCACCTATACGATCAATCCATGAATCTAGACTTGCAGGGGTCGTGTTGCAAACATGCTCACCAAGACAAAACCGGGTTAGAGGTCAATCTGCTCTTTGAATCGCCCATATTTATAAAGCCTGCTTAGCGTCACTTTGTAGTTATTTTCCATTCCCTACTCTCTAGAGCAAAATCATATAATCTACAACCCGTGGATCTTACCCGCTCTTTCCGTTCTCTAATAATTTGTCAGAGATTTAGCTTGCCAGGTACTATTCTTCCACTTTGCTTTACTCGACATCAATTCATTTTTTTTTACTGCTTTTGCATCTGAACTGACATTCATGTCCTCGAAGTCATGTCTCCTACTGCCCTTAGAAACGTTGAAAAGGTTGAAATTGTGGATATTCATCAGAATGACATGGAATTCTCCCTGGTGGACGATATCTACAAGAATCTGGACCCGCCAACAGGCACACAGCGGACATTCCCTACCCTCCTACTCTACGACGCCAAAGGATTGAAGCTCTTCGAGGAGATCACTTACTTGGATGAATACTATCTTACCAACACGGAGATCGGGATTTTGACAAAACATGCAAAGAGGATAGTCGCACGCATTCCGGAAAATGCACAGTTGGTGGAGCTCGGCAGTGGGTCTGTGACCCCTACATCCTCGAATCCGTCAGCACATCAAAAGTTCTGACAATTATTTTTTAGAAACCTGCGTAAGATCGAGATTCTACTTCGAGAGTGTGAACGGACCGAAAAGAAAGTAGATTATTATGCTTTGGATCTTTCATTGGTGGAATTACAGCGAACGTTCTCTGAAATATCACCTGAGAGCTTCATCCATGTAGGATTCCATGGTCTCCATGGAACGTACGATGATGCTGTCGGCTGGTTGAAAAGCCCAGAAAATCGGAAGCGACCGACAGTGGTCTTGTCGATGGGATCATCCATGGGCAACTTTAGTCCAACGGGTGCTGCAGAGTTTCTTGGTGGCTTTTCCAAGCTATTGAACCCATCCGATTTCATGCTTATCGGATTAGATGCATGCAAGAACTCGGAGAAGGTTTTTAGGGCCTATAATGATTCGAAAGGTATTACTCGCCAATTCTATGAGAATGGCCTTCTGCATGCCAATACAGTTCTTGGCTTTGAGGCTTTCAAGCCTGACGAATGGGAGATATTGACTGAGTATGATACTCGCGAGGGACGGCACCAAGCCTTCTATGCCCCGAGGGTTGACGTGGTCATCAATGGGATCAATATCCCAAAAGGAGAGAAGCTCATCTTTGAAGAGGCATGGAAGTACGGTCGCAACGAACGGAATAAGCTGTGGCGCAATGCAAGCCTGATTTCTCAGGTCGAATTTGGAAATTCGACAGACGATTATCGTGAGCCATGATCTTTTGGATGAATTGTCACTATATACTTGCTAACTTGTGGTTAAACAGATCTTCACCTGCTATCACCCGCTGCGCTTGATGTGTCTATGAATCCTTCGAAGTATGCAGCCCAACCGATCCCGAATATCGAGAACTTCCAGTCTCTCTGGACTGCATGGGACCTCGCGACTAAAACCATGATCCCTCACGAAGAGCTTTTGTCCAAACCAATCAAACTCCGAAATGCGCTGGTATTTTATTTTGGCCACATTCCGACATTCTTTGGTATGTCTCCATCTCCAATGTTCAATGTTACTTATCATGTTCACTGCTAACCATGCTGTACCTCAGATATTCATCTCACTCGGGCTTTGCAGGAGGAGCCTACTGAGCCTAGTTATTATAAACTAATTTTTGAGCGTGGTATTGATCCGGACGTCGAAGATCCACAGAAATGCCACACTCACAGCAAAATACCTGATGAGTGGCCGCCATTGGACGAAATTCTGGACTACCAAGATAGAGTGCGGAATCGTGCGCGTTCAATCCTACAGGAGGGATATGCGTTGCAAGACCGTGCTCTTGGAGAGGCTCTTTGGATTGGCTATGAGCACGAAGCAATGCATCTTGAGACTTTCCTCTACATGCTACTCCAGAGTGATAAATCTCTTCCTCCCACAGGAGTTGATCGCCCCAATTTTGAGCAAATAAGTCGCCAGGCGAAGAGAGATGAAAAGCCAAACAAGTGGTTCCGCATTCCACAGCAAACCATCAAAATTGGATTGGATGACTCCAACGAAGAAGTTATGCCAAATAAATCTTTTGGATGGGACAACGAAAAGCCCCAAAGAGAGGTCACTGTGCATGCCTTCGAAGCCCAAGCGAGACCCATCACCAATGGTGAATATGCCAAGTACCTACAGACGAAGGGCATTCAAACATATCCCGAGTCTTGGGTGTTTAACCCTGGCCAAGACAGTCCCGTTTCCAAGGGCACCAGTTCCTCAGGCACCCGTGCCAATTCGAGCTCCAGTTCTGCAGGATTTTCTCTTGAGGATTTCACAATTCGAACTATATTTGGACCTGTGGCTTTTAAATTCGCCCAAGACTGGCCATTGATTGCTTCCTACGATGAAGTGGCCAGCTATGCAAAAAGCATGCAATGCAGGATCCCCACGTTTGAAGAGGCTAGGAGCATATATCACTACTCGGACCAACTCAAAAGTCATCAAGCCATGAATGGCCACAGGTATGAAACGAAGCCTTATTATGATATAGCACAAACTAACTTAGAAAATAGAAATGGTGTCAATGGGTTTGCTAATGGTAGCAAGTCCCACCCTACCGATCAAACGGTTTTCCGTGATCTCACTGGTTGCAACGTTGGCTTCAATAACTGGCACCCTATTCCTGTCACACCAAACGGAGATCGGTTAGCTGGTCAAAGTGAAATGGGAGGTGTTTGGGAATGGACTAGCACAAAATTGATGCCGCACGACGGCTTCAAACCCATGAACATCTACCCTGGATACACTTGTAAGTGATGCCTTGAAACGACATCGAACCTAAGCTAATTGATTTCGATAGCGGACTTCTTTGATGGAAAACACAATGTCGTTCTCGGGGGCTCCTGGGCTACTCTGCCTCGCATTGCTGGCCGGACTACTTTGTGAGTAAAAGCCCCATGATATTCAATCAACTAGACAGACTAACATATTTTAGTGTCAATTGGTACCAGCATAACTACCGCTATACATGGGCGGGTGCACGTCTAGTTAGAGATCTATAGAGCTTGACTAATGTTAATGAGCCCTGGAGATGTCCAGGGGTGCCCAGGTCCAGGGGTGCTTAATGACGATGACCTCATTCTCGCGATAAGAGATAATCATAATACACTGCGGGGAGCGTAACGTGACTGCCCCTCATCCCTTCCCCAACATCCTTAACATCTTCTCCAATTCCTCGTTCTCTTCATATTAGTTGAATCATAAATACCTTGCATGATGTCGCTAGAAACCATTAGGACTATCTCCCCCGCTACCAATGAGCCTGTTGTCACCCGCACTGGCGTCTCATCGGAGGAGTTGAAGCAGATCCCCGTGAACGCTCAAGCAGCTTTCCGGTCATTCTCACAGTCCACAACTTTGGAGCAAAGGCAGAAAATTGTGGAACGTGCTCTTGATATCTTGGAGAAAAAACAGGATGAATTGGCACGTGAGATTACCAAACAGATGGGCCGGCCCATCGCCTATGCCGGTGTTGAAGTTGCGACCGCCATCAAGCGTAGTCGTTACTTGACCCGCATTAGCACCTCAGTGCTAGGTGAGCAAGGAATTGTGCCCGGAGAAGAGGAGAAGGGATTTAGACGGTATATCAAGCGTTCGCCTGTCGGCGTTGCGCTGATTATCTTCCCATGGAACGTGAGTCAAATCCGTCAGGATATTGGTATACCTACAGACTGCTGATAAGTCAATATATAGTACCCCTACCTCACCCTTGTCAATAGCTTGATTCCCGCCATTCTCGCTGGCAACGCTGTTATCCTCAAGCCCTCTCCTCAGACTCCAACAATCGTCGAGCAGTTTGCCTCCGCTTTTGCCGCCGCTGGTCTTCCCGAAAATGTGCTCCAATACTTCCACTGCGGATCTTTCACATTTATTGAGACCTTGGTGCGATCCCCACTGGTGAACCATATCTGTTTCACAGGTTCCGAAGCTGGTGGCCTAGCAGTGCAAAAGGCAGCCTCCGATCGGATTGTGAATGTTGGTCTGGAACTTGGCGGTAAGGACCCAGCCTACGTGCGAGATGATGTAGATCTCGCCTGGGCCGCCGAGGAAGTTGTGGATGGCGCTATCTTTAACAGTGGACAGAGCTGCTGCGCGATCGAGCGTGTCTATGTCCACGAGAAGGTTTACGATGCCTTCATTACTGAGGTGAGGAAGGTTCTGAGCAACTACCGTGTTGGCGAACCTTCCGATCCCCAAACCCAAATTGGACCTGTTGTCTCTACGCGCGCCAAGGAGGCTATTCTCGCGCACATCGAGGATGCCGTGCAGAAGGGTGCGAAGAACGAGACTCCTGCCAACGAGACCTTTGAAAATCTCCCTCCGAATGGAAACTATGTCAAGCCTACACTACTGACCGGCGTTAATCATGATATGGCCGTGATGAAGGATGAAACATTTGGGCCTGTGATTCCTGTAATGAAGGTCTCGGGCGATGACGAGGCCGTGCGTCTGATGAACGATAGCAAGTTTGGCCTTACCGCTAGTGTTTGGAGCAAGGACGTTGCAGCGGCTGAGAAGCTGGTTGAGCGTGTCGAAGCTGGCACTGTCTTTGTCAACCGATCTGATTACCCTAGTCCCGTAAGTGAAGCTCTGGCATCTACGATTGTCGCCTTTTCGCTAACTGAACTATCCTATAGGACCTCGCCTGGACAGGCTGGAAGAACTCTGGCCGTGGTGTTACCCTAAGTCGATTTGGGTTTGAGCAGTTTGTCAAACTGAAGAGCCACCACATCAAGGATTACCCTAAATAAACATGTGTATGTGAGATAAGTTATATTTTGTCGGTCGGGAGAATAAATTTCATTACATAGATTGTGTCTTCAAAATTATGATCTAGGGAGTACTACTATCTTTTAAGGGTCCCCCAGCAAACAGTAAACAGCCAGCTGAATGAATTCTTGGAACATCGATATTTTATTTCTAATGTCTTGAATTATCCTGATACCAAAGTATTCCAAAACAAGAGATCGAACATATTACGCTCTTCCATGTAACGAAGTGGATTTTGTCTTTTGCCGGCTATTTTAGCCTGTTTCAGGTTTGATCCTCAAATGTATTTTTAGCCTACCAATACTAGGTACTTCCGAGGTTGTTAGTCACTTCACCTGTCAACCTTCTATCATTGTTGAAATAAAAAAGTCGATCAGCTCTCAAGACTCTCATGAAGTCAATCCCACTGTCAGAGGACAACCCCTTCCAGTCCTTAATTGCGGAGGCAAACAACGATTCGGTCAGTGGATACGAAAATTGTGGGATACATGTGTGATATCAGATGTTTACCCCTTTTTGGCTCTAATAATAGGCAATATTACAATCTCGATATGAAAAACACCGAGTGACTCGCAATAGCCAACAAAGCGCGAAGATCCTAGCCGATAGCTTTCCTGGCTGGTCCCTTGACGAGATTTTGAAGCGACTCGATGGCCCTGGAAAGGAAGATGGATTTGTTGATCCTCGAAACTGTCTTGTCATTTGGGCCAGACCATCGCCTCAAGTTCGCGACCTGATATGCTTTATTCAGAATGAGTTGAGGAGCATTTCTTCTTGTAAGTTTACCAATACACGGTTTTCCGAGGAAGTTCCATTGTAGCCATTGATTTCGCTAACATCACTGGCCATAGCACTCTGGCTAATGCCGCCTGAGAACCTTCACATAACTGTCCTGGAAGCTGCTCATTCCCTGACGGAAGAGCAAATTGAAGAACTTGTCCAGACCCTCCTGTTATCCAAGGACGTGACGTCTGCAGATATTGCTGCGTATCCACGCACTCACCCTACACGTCTCATCAAGCCGATGGTAAGCTTTGATTCCGCCGCACTAGCGCTCAGCTTTGTTCCGGCTGCTGGTGAGTGCCTGGAAGCGGAATCTAGTAGTGACAATGATAACTACACATACCATCATCTTCGCCGAGATGTCTTTGACATGGTCCGACAAACTAAGGTCCCTGTCGCTTCGCGTTATATTTTTCCCTCAGCACATCTCACTATCGCAAGGTTCATCTCCCAGGACGGATTTATGGTCAGAGGATCAGATGGCGCAGAGACAGTCGATCATTCGCGCGTTAAGCTGTTGATTGATAAAATTGGCGAGATTAACCAAAAGTTAGAGAATGAGTATTGGCCCAACGAGGGTGCCATCAGAGAGGGAGGTGAATGGATTGTTGGGCAAGAGGGCCTAGTCATTCGGAGAGGCCGTCTCTGGTATGGAGGCGGCGAGTATGTACCGCTTGAGTAGAAGGGGTTGAATGTGCCCTACGCGCACCGATATTCTTGACTGCACCTTCCTCGATGAGTCGTTCTAATCATAAATGTCACACATTCGTATGCTTCCTCAAAAATATCAGGGTTACTGAGTATGTAAGCTATTTGAAATATTGGTTGTCAAGAGTCTCTTCGAGAGAAGGTGTAGATGGACTTTACATAGCGAGATGTTTGATCATGATGTTGCAACGCAGAACAAGAGGCGACGTAAGACTACGCTATCAGGTAGTCTCTATATAGTAATAAATGCAGAAAAGTATGTAGCAATGATGTCGGGTCATCTCTATAGGTGACAGGAAGAAAATTTCCCTTTCAAACAAATTTGTGCAAATTTATGCCTAAGCATGAGGCACCAACCACTACCAGATTACTCGATCACGTGATATCGCGTGCTGGGTCGATTTTCAAAAATGAAGCAAAAGAAGCAATAAAAACGATATTTAGCAAAAGCCGCTGGAATTAATGATAGATATTGACCAAAAATGCCGATGTTACACACTTAAATTAAATAAATTGACCTTGGCTGAGCGTAAAACCGCATTTAGGCTTGGTCCCACATTGCATTCGCTTATAGCGCACAATTTGACCAAGTCACATATCTTACGGCCGGCTGGCCCAATGGCAAGGCGCTTGACTACGAATCAAGAGATTGCAGGTTCGATCCCTGCGTCGGTCAATTTATTTTTGCTCATCTATCATATTGTTTACTACATACAATCGCAGAATATCTTTTTGCTGTGATAAGTTATGCCATTAGATGCGGTTTTTTGGTGCTGGAGTCGAAATCTTATCATAGTAGATGAGTTTACCGTATTTCGTCTTATATTTGTGTTAAAGGAACCTTAGAAGGTCCGAATTGAGTCAGTGTTTTTTGCTATATAAGAAGAGCCGGGGAATTTTATTGAGCCAGAAGTGCCAAAGGGCTCCTCGGTAGGGATGCTAGTGACTGCGTTCAGTAGATGTACGTTGCTCTATTTGACCTGTGTGTATATTTTAAAGAACAAAAGGATATAGGGACAGGGTTGTAGCTAGCCTCAATAAAATGAAATTGGATGGTGGCAAAAATATATTTCAGAGCCCTGTAGTAACCCAGCCACCATAGTGGGTTGAGCCGAACAACTTACATCTTTGTATAGAAAATTCCGATACCGGAATAACATGTACAGGAGTCTTATGGGATATAATATTTAAGAGTTCCTATTACAATGATACCTCTCTAGTTGATCTTTATAGGCAAGTAGAACTTCCTGATAAGAATAGTTACGTTCATTCATGAATTCGCCGATCTGAACTAAGGAAAAGGGCAAACCGTCCAGCAACCCACGCAGCCCTCTCGCAGCAGCGTCATCTTCATCTTCACTCGATGGCTTTAAGCTAGTCAATGAGAAAAGTACCTTTTTCCCAGTCTCAGCTACAAAACTTCTCAGGTGCAAAAGTTTGAAGATATATCACATCAACCGTATGTTTTCTTGCAACTGAATGAGAGCGGCAAGTTATAATCACGGACCCGTTGGTTCTTGCTGGCCAAAATTGTTCCAGAATCCTGTGATCTTCAACATTGTCAAATATCAAAAGAAAAGGTTTTCCTGATACATTCAGCCAGTTTCTCAATTTTTGGATCAATTGATTTTCATCCTCGGCATTACCAACACTTGAGATGCCAAGCTTGGAAGCGAAATTCGTCAATGCCTGTGTGAATTGCGTTTGTGTTTCTGATGGAATCCAAAGAATCGCATCAAATAGGTCCATCGAAGTGTTGACATAGTGTAAGGCAAGTTGTGTTTTCCCTACACCCCCTGTTCCGTAGATTGAGGCGACTTTCAAGCGTTTGTTGCTTTCATCAGGGTCAAGCATGCTATTCAGCATGTCAGTTTCCATCTGTCTTCCAAAGAAACTATTATTGAGACCGTATGGTATCATATAACACGGAATATTCATTTTCTTTGGTGGGAAATCCTTCAGGACACTCATTGCGCTGATCGTGTCCACTGATTGAGTCTCTCTGGAAAGAGATATCATGTTGGCTGTTTGATCGACAACCTTTGAGTAGTCTCGAATTTTCACAATGACTTGAGGGAATTCTTTGCTAAAACTAGACCAGACTTTTTGGAAAGTCGCCATGCTCAGATTATTTCGAAAGAGAGCAATAGAATGAGCGCACAAAATGATGATCTCTGTGTACATTGCCACGAGAGCTTCTGCCGATGCTCTTGCGACCGGCAGCTTTTGCTCATCACTCGGAAACCTTGGTAATGCTCGGCCTAATTCTTCGAGCATGTCGAGTAGTTCTGGTAAAACTGGTTGCGAAAGCTGGTACAGTCAACCTCCTAGATCTATCCCTCTCCGGGGTTTGTTCACAGTCATACCTTCAGAATCACTCTCATCGACCCCCAGATAATTGCTGCAACTTGATCCTGCATCCCGAGAGACAATGCCACTACTGACGCAAGATCATCAAGACGAAGAAATATCGGTACGAGTCTTGGAACATTTTCGATCCACTGGCTGTAAAAACAGGAACTGGGTGGCACAAAGTCATGCGTTTGTTGAAGAAGGTCATTAAGGTTGTGAATGCTCCAGACATCACGATCAACGATTGAGCGTTTGATCCCTTTTTTTCTCAACTCTTCATAATATCTATCAATGATAGCCTGCCATATCGGGTTCGTTGTGCTCATTTTAGACGTGAGATGAAGTTCAAAAGTCGACGAAGACAAAAGTGCGGGGTTGGGCTTGATATATATGCTCCTAACCCAATTTCCCGCTGAGCCCATGCTTTTATAATAGATTAATTCAAAATTGTACAAAATATGATGCTAATTTTAGCAAAGTCTCTTTTCCAATGAGAGGAAGGTGGTGGATATCTGTTTGTGCCATATAAGTCCTTGCTGCATGGATTTCAACACGGCTTATGGTGAAGCGCCCGGCGAAGCGCCCGCCGAGGCTATTATTTAATTGACAATTGATAATGTATGTGCTATTCTCTTCTTATGGGGACTTACCCAAGTGATTTACACCGAAATGGCCCTGCCTCAAAGGTTGAAGCTGTTATTCTTTTTCATCTAGTTGTCTGATGAAAGCCCGTCCGCGACATATCTCGCATAACATGAAACCGAGGCCAGATTCCAGACTGTGAGCTTCCATTTTAGATCGGCAAGCCACAGATACTCGATCAAGAAAGGCTCGGTCCGTCGTGGGACGCCATTTCCATATAACCCAATGGACTCTCTTGCTGCCCATTTGCCCCACTGCTTAGCTGAACCCCGTGCGGCAAATAATAATTCGTTCTATATATATATATAAGCGCCTATACATACATGGGTGTGCCCTTAGCTTGGCATAGTCTTCTTTTTGTCCGGTCAGCGCTAAAAAAAGACTTTTGCTAATTTTATACCATTAATGATAGCACATATATGCAGGGATATCAAATCGAGTCCCTATTTGTTCTGTTGTACACATAGAAGCGGAATGGACTATGTTTGGCAATTCTATATACAGAGTATGGAGTAGTTCGCAACTCGTTACACAGTCGACCAATGTGCTGTTGCCTCAGGCATTATATCTTCCAGGACTTGTGTGCTCTTTTCAGGCAGTCTCTCTCCATTTCCTCCATCTCAATCAATCATTCATCTTCCTTGATTTCTTCTAGAGACTAAGACCCTCAATGCCAACTAAAAGTATACCTCAGTCATGTGATTATACCCCGCTTCTAATAAGAATTATGTATCCATTTCATCATTTCTCGAACTTTGCATTTACCAGGCCTTGACTCCATTTCAACATCATATTCCCCAACAGAAGTATCCAACATGTCGATTACCCATATCGTTCTTTTCCAGTTCAAGTCAGAATTAGCCACTGAAGTTATCCACGATGTACGTTTTATTCAAAGATCATGACATGTCGGATGAACTTGATTATGATTGATAAACACTTTTTAATGGATGTTAATAATTGCCCCCCAAAGGCCTGTGAACGTATGATTGCGCTAAAAGACAATTGTGTCCATCCAACATCACAAAGCCCCTATATAAAATCGGCGTCTGGCGGGAAGGATAACTCGCCCGAAGGCATCCAGGTAAGTTTCACTGGGATCTCTGGGGATATTTTACTAAATGCATAATAGAATGGGATTACGCATGCATTTGTCGTAGAGTTTACCAGTGCTGCAGATCGAGACTATTATGTACAAAGCGACCCGGCTCATCTGGCATTCGTCAAATTTCTTGATGGACTCATTGAGAAAGCGCAAGTCATTGACTTCAGTGATGGGGTTCTCTGAAATTCTCAGTCACCGCCTCGAGTGTCAATATACCTGCGATTTCAATGGGACATAGGGTGTTGATTTTTGTAGATATTACAGTGAAAGAACCTTAAAATGGATACTAGCTCATACTCATTCGCAATCTATATACACCTCCAATGTTTTTTTTTACAAAGCCTACGATTTTATATGAGTAGCTAAAGTTTCCTAACTTGACCATGTGTCCTACATCGATTCAAATCTTGGTATTTGTGTAGACCTACATGTTAAGAGTACGAACCTGCTAATTGATTGCCCAGGTGACCTCTCACCCTCCCATGTATAGCACAATTTCGAGCGTTTAGTGGTCGCCCTTTGTGTACAAACATCCAACAGGAATGGATCCTCAACGCACGGAAATACATTCCCGGACAAAATAGTAATGCTTTAATTTTCCAGTGAGTCTAATAGCCGGGAATGTCAGCCAATCTCCAGGTTCAGGAGACCACTTTATCGAAACTGGCCGATGCGCCAATAGTATATCGTGTTCATGTAGGCATCGGATCGTTTGGTCCAACACTATGTACAGATCTAGAAGAACCTTGCATTGCTAGGACCATGTTGTACAATGAATACCACTTCTGAGCCTGGTACTCTTCTTCTGACGTTTAGTAGGATATTACTCCATATACGTTGGATACCTCAAAGATAATAGGATTCAATAGATGTTTAAATTGAGATCTCGTATATATACCGATGGGAGTATATTTAGGCTATTCATAGGTTCCCTCGGGCTTAGCTCAAGGGTCAAGGTTTCTCTATCCCTGCGGTTATATTCAAGTTAGGGCTTAACTCTGTTTGTCTAGATGAAACACCCAACAACAATTATACCTGAAATGGAGAGATTGTAGCAAAATGGCTTGAATTGGTTCTTATAACCTTCCACCTTCAAATTGATTCTATTAGAATGCGTAACGCATAAAACTTGTGCGAAGCTCAACTAATCTTTACGAGCTCTCTGACTTGGCATTGCTCCGATGCAAGGGAGAAGCGCGAATAAAAACGCGCCAACCATTCCCGAGCCTCGCAGCCACCCGCAAGGTGCTCTTTTGTTTCGATTGAATTGACAGTATTTCTGGAATCTCTTAGGGAGTTATTATTATAGCGAAACAAAGAAAATGCGTAACAAAGGAAACTGAGTCGAGGAACCTGTTTCATTTCAGAATTGCCAATGTGGCTGGAACTTTGCATGCGATGATATTCTACTTGTGCTAATATGGAAAAGGAGTAATAATTGCCTTAGTTCTCTCTGGGATTGTGTATATATACTTGACATGCAAGACCAGGCCTACCAAATATACCGGGATCGGAGCTATTACTCCGAATTTTAGCACATATCTAACCCTGAATGATGAGGTAATTTGTAGGATCACCCCTGTCAGTGACAAATTGATGCTCGAAACGGCTACAAAATGAGTGATCTGCGATGCATCCTTGGAAGAAATGTCTAAAATTGCTTGCCGGGAACCGGGTGGATATTAACGCCCGGTTTCCGAGACAAAGACAAAGGAAACGAGGCAAAGGGACATTCCAATTAAGCCAGTGAGCTTAGCATGAAAAAGGAAAAAAGTCAATTCTCCCCGGAGCTAGGGACAAGGAATTCCGTTTCCCGCGAGCCTCCAAGACCACAGGGTTCATTCATGCATACATCCGACCCGACAAACGGGGATTTAAGGGATCGGCGGCTATCTACTATTGAAATATCCTGTACACTGGGGAAAACGGTATATGCAAAACTTTAAAAGTGAGATTGGTCTCTAATCCGGAAATGGAAAGAGGACACGAAGAATGAGAGGCATATGTTTCGAACACGAGGGTTTTCTTTGCTTCTTCTCCCCTTTACCCCTTTGGTCTAGGCTGCTTTCCGCTCGATCCACTGAGGGTCAAATACCTAATCTGCATGGGTCTCCAACGTTGGCATATCTTCCCTGCAGCCTGCAGGTTATGCTTGCCGCTTGTAATGCCCATCTGCTGTATTGCATCCGATGAGTTGCAGCAGATCGTGGGTATATCGTCTGCATACAGAGATATAGATACCCGTAGAAACGATCTCAGGTAACACTTGAATTCCCAGTAAGAGCCCGAATCGTCCAAGCATTCACAACTTTTTGCTTAAAGCCAATCCCACGCAATCTAGACCCCTAGGGAGGACCCACTACTGCCGCCAGGGGAGTGAACTGCCAGATTGGTGTCCTGCCGAGCCTGTCATCATGTCCATGCCAAAGGTACGGATGTCGCCTAGTTCAACCCGGGCGAGACTGTGGATCGATTTGTCCTTGACACACCGGGAATAGTATAGATGTGCATACTGCGGCTGCCGGTGATCTTTACTCCGTACACACTCATATATGTACTGTCGCCCTGTCTTTTGGCTCTTTCTTTAAGCACGCCTCAATGGTGTAAAATAGCTACAATCTTTTTCTTTTTCTGTTCCTTTTCCTTTCTTTGGGTGTTGCCATTCCCAGTCTCTCGTTTCGCCTTGTCACTCGTTGTATAGTTTTTGTTTCACCTCCAAGCGTTGCCTTTATTATTTTAATTTCCTTGTTCGCATTCAAGGACATCCTAGCTGGAATAGCCATTGTTCCAAGCTTGCGAACTGTCTAGCTCTTTATAAGAGTTCTTTATCCACCGATCAGAACCTCCAAAACGCCATCAATCCAACATGGAATGCTTTCGGCAAATTTTCCGGTGCCTGAAGGCGCCTCTGAGACGCGAAAAGGGAAAGATTATTGAAATCGTGAGTCGAATATAAAAGGGGGGTTGTCGTTGCGGAGACGGTTGCTAACAAATTTGTAAAACAGGGTCCTCCCACTAACTTCCGAAAAGAAGAATTGCCTACTTATTTCTCTGATGCCGAGTCAGTTCTCTCGCCCATCCAGAATTCGACAGAACGATCAGATCTGACCAATCAATCACAGGACGCTCACGTCCCAGGACAGCCACACAACGACTGTGGAGAAGGACGGAACGATGATCGAAATGGTATCTCTACCGCCATCGACGAAGAGCAAGGTGCGGGCCCATGTTCGAAAGATGAGCATGAGATTGTCAACCGCCTCCGAGAGCGGGTGAAGTTATCCCGATGGTGGAAATCAAACCCAGCTGCAGGTCATGAAACCAAGGCCCCGGCTGAATCGATCAAGATGGAGGAAATGCAAAATACCGAATTGGCATGTTCATAAGGAGATTATGGGTTGGTACAATGGGTACATGGATGGTCACACCAAGAATGTTGGCACTTCATTGTGCCGGGATTTTTTTGGATCTAGATTGTTCCCTCCGCCTATTACAGGTGATTGTCTTGTAGAAGGTTCCCTGGAATCATAGATAGAGTTGTTTATCCGAGATGACTCTGGTAGTTCATCAATGTCATCAAAAAGCGATTGAACCCGTGATTTATACGCGCTCACTTTGGGTCTCCCATGCGCCTGCTTTACTTTTGCTTTTGACGTAGATGTGCTTTGTGTGTTATATCGCTGCGGGGTTCGCGATGTTGTCTGATCGTGAGCCCAAATTTCTTGTAAAGCGGCATTTGTTCTGTTGGGCGGTGGTAACACGGCTGACTGGGTTTCTAGTTCAAGATCGTCATCATCATCCGAGCCCGAGGCCGTCTCTTCATCCAGTTCGATGCTTTGAACTTCTGATGCTCTTGGTAGCGCAGTCACACTCCCGATACTGTTCACCCGGGCTCGTCCAGTACCTAAAGTAGGAGCCTGTCCAAAGCCCGCAGCAGCTCTGGTAGAGGACTTGGGGGCGTGAACGCCTGCCAAGGATCGTATTTTTCGTGGGCTTGTCATGAGATCGTGAAGATGGGTTCCAGCCCATCTCTCATCATCCTCATCCTCATCTTTCTCCTCGACTCCTCTATCTTCTATTGACACGAGTCCGGCTTTTTGTCGCTCCCTGAGCGCTTCGATCTCTCTTTTCCGTTGAACTTCATTGGGAAGTGGGGTACGGCCGTCTGTAGGCCTCTCAATTTCTGCTATTCTGGCTGCATTTTCGGCTTTCACTTCCTTTCTCCGTCGCAGATACTCCGCATGATGTAGATGTTGAGTAAATGTTTGCGCAACGGCGTAGAACTCGTCTTCGACCATGGCCCAGCCATCATCGTGTTGAATTCCTTCAATCAAAAATCTATAAAGTGTCTATTAGTGACTTTTTCTGTTTGCGCAGTATCTGGTTGTGATCGTACTCTTCGGAGGGACAGCGTTTGATCGGGGAGGTCGGCGGGCTTTGGGCTGTATAGAGTAGTAATTAGATTCTGTATTTTAGTCACAAATACCTCAAAAACAAAACTTACAGGATCTGAAAAGATCCCGCCTGGGGGGAGAAACTCGAGGGTTTTTGGGAGTGACGTCGCGATCAGGACTGGGTTCCGTTTTCACGCGCTTCCGCGGCGTTGACGCTTTTTTCGCAGGGATACTATTCTCGGCGCGAAGCCAGGGCAATGTCCTGGGCATATTTCAAGAGAATACAGAATCAAATCAAGATGTCACCTAGGTGGTGTCGAGATCTCAGGGAAAGATTACAATGAGGGAAAGAGAGCTGCTGATAGGCATCCATGGCCGATAAGATGACCTCGGGAGGTCACCCGCATTCCGCGCAACACAAAACCTTCAATTTGAAGCTTCACTACGGAGTAGAAAACCTGCGAGTATGAACCTCATTCTTTTGGGTATCTAAATCCATTTATGACATTGGTAATGCAAGATGAAAAGAACTGAGACTGCCTCAAACGCCCCGTGCAGGATATATCACCGAAAGGACTGCCGGTAGAACGCCGATTCAACCATTTGAGGGAAACAAAAAAAGAACGCCAGTATCTCTACCCATGCAAGGGTCTGCTTACACCTCGCCAGGCCGCTTGCTGTTGCAGCTCACGATCTTCACCTTGTCCGCGGACACAGTTGTCTGGTTATCCAGCTTGAAAGAAACATCCTTGATCAGGAAGGTCCAGACTTCGTCGCAGAATCGGTAGGTGTCCAGGTGGCCCTAAAAGCGATGGAAAAATGTACTTGTTAGCTTTGTTAAACTATGGCCCATCTGGGCAAGGGTGTTTTCTGAACCGGAATGACTTGACTTACCTTGAAGGTCAGTCTGGCCCGAACTTTGTCCGCCAAGACTTCAGTGACAATCTTGTCAAAGGTCCCAAGGATCTTCATGGCCAGCTGGGGCTCGATACGGCCTTCATTGATCAGGTCATCAAGAGTGTCGGTGAGGGAGAGCCCGAGGCTAGAGGTTCACTGAGTCAGTTTTGGAGCTTTTGGTTTGCTTCATCGGATATATTACCTGCTGCCGCGGTAAAGCTCATAGTAAGCTACGGATGCCATTCTAAGATGGAATAATGGCAGACTCGTCGAAAGGGTATCAGAGGAGTGAGTACAAGGGCAAGTTCATGATCGCCGGCCGAATCGCGGGGGACGGGCGGCAGCACGTGATTTTCTTATAGTCACGTGGATATCCTTATCCTGAATTGCGTCAGTGTAAGACGAATTGAATATGTCTGAACATATCTTTTGGCCCTACAAACTTCCCAGTGAGCAAAAACAAGCTCGAGAACCACTGCAGCATGGGCATAAAGGGCTTAGGGTCTCAATCCCTTTTGAGTAGAACATTATCCAGTCAATTGCATGTTACATGTGTACGACCCTTATCAACAACCTTGTTCAGAGCATCAAAAGCTCAAGGTCTGTCAATCTCGTCCAAAAAGCTCATGTTAGAGCTAACATATATTGCTCTGGAACTACAGATTCCCAAGGTCACCAAAATTTTGAGTCCAAGCAACAGAAAAGCAACCAGCCATCTGAGAACTCCTCGAACCAAGAAAACAAGCGCCACACGCCCCCATCCAAGGCCAAAACCGTCTCCCAAGCCGATGCCGAACTTCGCGAGCGGCTCGAACAAATGTCTGGAGGAGGAGGAGCCTCTGGAATTGAATACGAAGACGGCAAACCGAATGCAATGAAGCGCGGCGTGCGAAACAACATGTTCCGATTAATTTGAAGCAACCCTCAACATCAATATATCACAAGAACAAGCATCCATCTCAAATGTCTCGGATATATATCCGAGTGAGGACTCATGTCCTGCAATGCAGGCTTGGCTCCAGATGCCAAGACACGTGGGGAAATAATGTTCTCTCTCGTTTTCTTCCGGCCCCGGGAGCCCCGGGAGTTAGGTACGTACCTCCATCAAGACCAGACTTATTGAACTTTGTTTCCAACAACATGGACAAGGATTACCAGGTTTGACTTCGGTCGAGTTTGTCTAATTATTATCCCGAATATGTGCACATGACGTTTCTCTTAAGGATAAACCGTCATGCATAAATAGAATGCATTCCGCTCTTCGGGTGTTCCTGCATTCTCCGGTTACGATTCCTGAGGTGGGGCCGTCCAATAAGTCACGATGGCTGTGAACTTGTTTTATTGGCTTTGAAATTGTTGGAATATTGTTGGACATATATCATTGGAAAGCTCTTATTTCATGGCTGGGAGCGAGTTCATTGTAATGCACTGGGTCTTGGAAAGAAGTGCAGTGCATGCACGTCCTGTCAATGATCAGAACAGGGCCTCATAGGCCAATGCCGTGTTTTGATCGGCGGTGAACTCTCGCTTACAGAGTTGAATTTCGACAGGAAAAACCATAAGACCATAAACATAGCAAACCGTATCATGGTCGAGAATTGGACTGGTTTAAATCCGATGAAAACGTAGATCAACGAAATTACCACCGTCCAAAATAGGATCATAGTGGCAGAAATCAAATCTCATTTCTATGTCGTGAGCCCCAAGTTGAATTTAAAACAAAAAACAGGCATTATCCCATGAACACCTAATTTCGAACCATTTTCGCATTGCTGAATTCCGCCCAAGGAAAAAGAAGAAGGAGAAAAAAAAATCAGATGCTTCCTGACGTTTCAAAGAAAAGCTCATTTCCGTACAACCATGCCAGCCAAAACACCAGCGCCGATGACACCACCGTCGGAGGCTTCCCGTAAGAAGACCGATTTCCCACCTCGTTGCGGACCAGTTCGCATGATAAGGCGATCAATATATTGCTGGCACATTTCCTTGAATTGCGGGTAATGTTGGATAACACCACCAGTGTAAGCCACTACGAGCTCTTCAGGACCGGACTGCCAATCTATTGGCGTAGGATCGATGACAGGGACAACATGTTCCTGGGCTGTGTGGCTCATAGCGATAGCCGCAGCGGCCGGAGCACCAACGAAGTCAGTGATGATGTCGCCATTGCTATGTGGTGAAGCAGGATTCTCCGGTGAGCTGCTGTTACTGTCTTCCTTCAGCTCGATCTCGCGAGCACAGGCTAGAAGCCCGACCACCGCAGCAGCGATCAGCCCAGCTGATCGTCTCTGTACTGTGTGGGCGATCTTTCGGAATGCGCCCGCGGCTAGGGCATCCCAGCGCCAGTCACTGCTTTCTGGTGGAGGGAGGGATTTGTTTAAGGAGTTAGCGAGGTCATGATCAGATCTGGCTTTGGCGACAACGTCGGAGATGTACATTGTTGTCAGGGCGTATTCTTGGATGAGATTTGCAGGTAGGGAGCGTTTCGATAATTCAGCGACTGTTGTGAGATAGTCAAATAGGATCAAGCGAATTAGTTCACCAATGTAGCGGCCTCCAGTCATGTATTCGAAGGGCTGGAAGCCTGGGCGTGCACAGGCCTGGTCCAGCTCGACGTCCCATTTTGTGGTTATGTTGAGCTCCTTGAGTGGTAAGGCAGCACCAGAAATAGTCAACTCAGTGTTAACAATAGTCTCCACGGCGCTGGGTTCCATTATGTTCACAGTCTTGGCTTTCGATTCGCTCAGTTCACTGAGCTTCATTGGGATGGTTGCGTTACAGCCAGTGCCCACAATGATGCCCATAGCGACTCTGCTGTTTGGTAGAGATTTGACTTTGTATGCAAGGGAAGCTAGTGTGGCCACCGTATCGTTGGTGATAGCTTGGATTTTCAGTTTTGGTAATGCGAAAAGCTTTCGACGCTTGGTTGAAGGTTCGTCTTCATCATCGGGTCGCCTTGTGTGCTTTTCATACCCATTCAGAAGGATTTGGCCAAGATTGAGATTTGATGAGATAGCGAAACCTTTCCCCGTCGGCATTAATGTGGCTTCTGCCAATGATTCTTGCCTAGACTTAATTAGTACAAAATTTACTCAAAAGAACCTCCATAATCCGAGAATCCTAGCAGCACAAGCACAAAAAGGAAGGGACTCACATGATGGGGAAGCTGAATGTGATTCCCATATCTAATTCGGCTGGGATATCCTTCTTAGTGGCATCCGATGATAGACTCTCCGCTATCACCTCCGCAATGCAATCACCGATCCAAGAAAAGAGGTCCTCAGCCTTATCCCTATTTAGATGGTCTTGAATAGGCCAAGCTCGTTCCAGCGTGCGCTTCACCCGCTGGCGTTGAGCTTTCCGGATGGTGTCCTGTGACCTCTCCGTGGCATCTGTCGGTCGAACATCGGAATCCACGGCTTCTCCGAGCAACTCGATAAAAGCGACTCGAAGGTTACTACCTCCTACATCGATTGCTAGATAGCGACCAGTTTCTTGCCCAGTAGGAAGCCGAGTCACGGGTGTTGGCAAAAATTGCTCGTCCGACGTCAGGGCAAGGTTGCGGTATGTGGTGGAAAAGCGCCGGGCCAGTTTGTACAGCACAGCCTCATCCAGGGTCATGGAAATTGGTGATAAAAACTCTTCCAATTTTTGATGATATGCCAGATATTCTTGTTGAACGGCGTTTAATTCCAAACTGATATCTTCATGTTCCTCATCTTCAATCAAATCACCATGCATGAGGTCGAGGTCCTCGTCATCCTTCTTGAACAATTGTGAGTTGACCGAAGCCATGATAGAAGATGGAAGATGAAAGGTATATCCCAAATTTAAAAAAAGAAATAAGAAAAAAGAAAAAAGAAAAAGAAGTCCCCTCCAAAAGGCCGAATGAAAATACCAGGTTAACAAAATGACCTGACAGAGCCGCTATGTCAATAGTGACGTGTAAGGGTCTGGATTGTTTAGGAATAGAGACAAGGCACCATATCCTTAAAATCTTTGAATTGTGGAGAAAAGCTACCGAGGGAGCTAATCCAATGCCCAGAAGGCTAGTAATATGTTAGCGAGGTTGCAATAAAAAGAAGGGAACATTTTGGTGACGCGGTCTGCAGGTCGATAATCCGGGCTGCGGGGGAAAACAGAAAAACACGATGATCATGCCAGAAGGGGGTACCAAACCTCCATCTTCTGTGTTTTACCTACCCTCCAAATTTTGGTATGTACTATACACTGATTGTGATTATCACCTCGAAATAGTATTTCTGAGGGATTTGGGAAGGGGATGATAGACTATATACGGGGGGGGGGGGTTATCTTTGGGCTAGGGAAATATCCCTAGATGCCCTGAGGGAGTTGGTGAAGAATGGAAGTATAGAACTCCCTGCTTAAGAATTAAAACACAATAGAAAAAGCAAAAGAAGCAACAAAAAGAGAGATAGGAATTGTTTTATACCTTTTGTGTGTTTTGGTCCAAATAGGTAATTGTAGCCCAGGGAAGAACAGCTCTGAGGAAAAAAAAAAAGTGTCAAAAGTGTTAAAAGTGGGGGAAGATCATTCCTATCAGATCCAATATGATCAGAAGCTTAGAAATCTAGAAGTTAGACAATGATTATAAGCTTGAAAAGTTCTAAGAAAGAAAAGAGTAAATATATAAAAGATGAGATGCGACCATCGGAAGGCACGAGGCGATGTGACGCTGTTCGGGACAAGTTGAGCATCCCGGTAGTTGGCTTTCTATTGGAGAAAAACTCTACACTCCGTACTTGAGAGAGATTTAATCTCCCCTCATTTGATATCTTTGCTAAATTATCAACTCTTAAAGTCTATGTAACCCTACTTTAAAAGCCCATATTATATCCGGCTAATGCCCTTCCCTACTTTAAGTAGAGATTATCCTTAAGCCAAGCCCAATTTCTCCGTCCTTGGCGGTGTCAGGATTAGACGAAACACACGAGCCTATTGGGCGTTTGAAAGCGGCGAGCTCCAATTGGAGACTAATATGTATACTCCATACAGGATCTCTTTACGACAAGGAACATTTTGAGTGGGGTCAAAAGTTTCTGGCTTGGAAAAAACGTAAAGTAACGCCAAAAGTATTGTGCTCCAATGTTGTTATTCGTTCAATACGAGGCTCGCCTAAGTTCAATATACTTACTCGTGGCACTCGCGTGGTGATCGGGCCGGACATACCCGTATCCAGACAAGGCGCATCTTGCGATGTTTTGATCCAACGGGAATGAACCCGTTCGCATGGGGTCTCGATCGTTCGCTAGCACCCGCCACATCAGGCTGTCAGATCTCACTGGAGCCAGTCCAAACCTGCCTTAATTTGGGGTTGGCCGGACTTAAGTATCTACCTACCGGCAAACAGTTCGGTGATTCTGGGGTTTGGCATAATTCTACTCCGTATCATAAAATCCATTAATGAAGGTTTCATGGACGAGCCTCAAAGCACGCGATTCCAAGCCATTATGCACGGTCTGTCCATAGACCATACCTAATAAAGCCCAGTGCTTCTAGCCTTAGGTCCATTTGAAACCTAAGATAGTCGATGCCCCATCCAAATCACCTCCGAAGTCGGAGCGCAGCCTAATCTGATGTGTGCACGGATACATCGTATGGCCTTGACCAACATATGTGATGTGGAGGATTCATAGCACCACATTTAAGCATTTAGGGGGGGGAACTAGGTCCTGTCTTCCAGCTAAAACAATGGCAAATAATAAGATTCGCAGGGCTGCATCCTTAGTTAACAATAATGGCCGGCCATGGAAGGCTCACCTGATAGTACATATGTACCTTCTTAACTGGCAGGCTTGGGAAATATATTATGTAATAGTCTTGGCAAACCTTGGAAGGTTCCCAGGATGGGGCAAGCTCCGGACTCTCCACATGATCTTATCAAGACAACGTCACTTTTGATTTTACCCCATCATGGAGGAACTACCGATCCACTCCAAGGAGGGATATAGGGATACTTTTGAGCCTGCAAACAATCCTGATCGTCGTGCGCATCCTACATCAACCACCTATTTGTGCCGAATCGGTGTCATCGCATTGCTGTTGATCGGCTGCCTTTCTCTTCTAAGGCCGTCTTTCTCACACTGTAATGGCATAGCTCGACAGACGGAGAGCTATAAAGCTGAGGTCCAGGAAGGGGATGACACCTATCTACAACTGGGACGCTTTGCTTCTGATGCACATAGAACACTTGAGCAAACTAAGATCCCACTGGAGGCTCATATCATGAGCAAATGCCCAGATGCCCAGGACTGCTTACAAAAACTGGTCCTACCAGCCATGGAAAAAATCAGTGACAAGGTGGACTTCAAGCTATCTTTTATTGCCAGGTGAGTATCAAATCAGATGTCGAGAGCAACTGGTGTTATCCCATTCCAGACTCCTTAATAAATATTTGGCTAATATTATAATAACAGCGTATCTAAAGTTAATGAAGAGATAGCGTGCAAGCATGGCCCGGGTGAATGCATCGGCGACATGCTTATGCTGTGTGCGGCCAACCTCCCTTTCCCTCCCGCTGCGGACGAAGCGTCTCTTCCATCTCAGTACCCCCGGACCCCCATTATCCGGTCGCTAGGATTTGCAAATTGTCTGATCAATGACTTCGCCCGGATTCCAGACCGCGAATTTGTCCACCAGTGTGCAATGGAACATGGTATTGACTTTGATGCGTTGAACAAGTGTGCAAGCCAGCAGAGCGATGACCCGAACGATGGCAATGACGGCAGACCACCGCTCAGTGGCATAGCGCTGCTACGCGAAAGCGCTCTGCGTGGTGAACAACTCGGTGTCAAGATTAGTTGCACAGTTCGTCTGGATGATGCTGTCTGGTGCATCCGCGATAGCAATGAATGGAAGGACTGTGCCCAGAATGGAGAAGGCAGCCAACCCTCAGCCCTGGTCGATCAAGTTGAAAAGCTCTGGGAGGAGAGAAACTGAGTTCTAGATGGATAATTCCCCGTTAATACCCTGCATTTATACCCACACGACAGGACATGAGACTCGATCAATGCCACTGATGATCCCTTGCACGTTATCATATTGCACCCGCACTATAGGCATTTCCCGCATTCAAATCTGGCCCTTAAGCTATGCCTTCCCAAAATGAAAACCCCTTTTCGGTAACCCTGACTCTACATTATGCGTTGGAGACAATGTTCCACTAGCCGTAGTCGACAAACAATCCCTATTGACCGAGTCACGCGCAGTCTGGTCATCTATCTATTTCCTTGCCATTGTTGTATTTGATCAGATCTCAGCGTTCCTTCCTTCTCCTTCCTAATTCACCCTTCCAGCCATCTTTATCAACACTGCGTGGTTATCGTTCTTTAACCGCACGGAAATTCACAATGCCGCCATCTTCTCATCCCAAACAGCGCGGTAGGTTACTTCCAGCGTTAAGCCCATAGATATTCAACTCCAATACCATAATATCATTATGCTAACAATTGAAATGGCTTTTTTAGAGACCCAGCGCGTCATGTCGCGTGGGGTGCGTGCTAAGGAGGACAGCTTGTATCTCAAGTGGAGTGTGGTGATGAATCCAAGCGAGCTACTACGGGAGCTTGTTGGCAACCGCGAGCATGCCCGAGCCCTCTTCCATGGACTGAGGCGCCAGGTCAAGTCTATCCGCAACCGCTCGCAGTCCTACGATGATGGCCAGGTCACAATCTATGACCGTGTTCTCCTTCGTCTCTATGACGAGGGACACACTATGCAACACTATGGTCTCCTCGAATTTTACCTGGCCGAGTATCTGGGGACTAAGACTTGTCGCTCGGAGGATGAGAACAAATCGGTCATTGCTGCTCATTTTGCTGCCCAGCGCATCCTAGACAGTGGTCTGTCGTTGCGCTTTGATGGAATTTATCTCTATGTGTGCTAACATAATCTACTAGGCCCTATTCCAAAAATCCCGACCATTGAAGCCGATACAGCGGAAGGTACCATCGAAGATATTAAGGCCAGCCATTCGCCACAGAGCTCTGGCGCATCAAACTCACACCACATCGACAAGCTGATCCAGGTGTACCAGAAGGCCAAGGCCGACTATTACATCCTTGAGGTCACCGAGAGCCACCGCGAGCGAACCAACAGCGTCCGATTCCTCCGTGACACTGCCGAGAATCTCCTGCGATACATGAAGTCAGTCGACAAAGACCACGATTTGATTCCTGAAATCGAAAATATCATTCAGGTCAGCCAGGCGCACGCAAATCAACTCGCCGGCGGCCGCAAACGTAAGTTTGAGCACACAGACAACGATTCGAGGGGTAGCCCAAGCCTCAGCCCCAACCGACCCTACGGATACTACGGAGACCACCGCGGAGGATCTAGCCGTTGGGACAGATATGTCCCCGAGAATGACACATGGGACCATAGCCATAAGGGTGGATGGGACCATAGCCATGTCAACAGAAGAATCGGATGGGGTAGTCGTGTCTTCGACTCCTACCGTCCTTCTTAGGCTCACTGCGGGACCTGAGCTCCTGGTCGGAGGATACCTTCTGAATTATGGTGGCCATTTCTCCGCTGCTGCTCGGGAAAAGTACACACCCGCATGTCCTAGAACAATCAGTCTCAAATCTAAACATCAACACAATTTGACAAGTACGCATCCTCCTACTTGTAGAACATTTGACAGTGGTTGTTGAAGTATAAAATGCCAGCCCATGGTCGTTAATAGAACTAAGCTCCACGCTAAGCTACTCTCATCTTAGCGCTAATTATGAATCCACGTGTATTGATGACATAATCCACCCTAGAAGATGCCCTGGTGATCAGCATCGGTCACCCGGTCTCGCGAATCGAGGGGGTTATTACTATTTTACTTTATTCGATCTCAGAGAAGAGGTAATATCTGATCTAATGGAGATGATATCTCAACTATCAGGCTCCTAGGACGACTCCAAACTGTGTCTTCCCCAAGAAATGGCAGACGTTAATCCCTCCGTCGCGAGAAATAATGCATCTTCCCCCAGCTCCAGCGCATCCTCAAACCCACGATTTACGCCGGTCTCGTATGGCTCAGACGAAGACCATCCAGTGCCAGGGCCTGCAAAATCCCCCACAGGCCCATTGCGACTGCAAACCAACTTCGATGACCACCTGGATGTCGGCGACCCTCTATCCGATTTTGAGAATGATGGTGACTATAACACCCGAGAGCGGTTCGAGGGTAAACTGCTACACAGTGGCTTAGGCCCAAGATACACACCGGAGGAGGAGAATGAAGTAGTGAGGAGGTTTGATCGGAAGCTGGTCCCGTTTCTGGCCCTTCTTTACTTGCTCTCCTTCTTGGACCGCTCGAGTATGTTTGGTTATTCCACACAGCGGAATGTTTCCCGTATCATTGCAAGTGTATACTGATTATTTACCCAGACATTGGAAATGCAAAGATAGCAGGACTCACAGACGATCTACAACTTTCATCTTCGCAATATGAATGGCTACTTACTGCTTTTTACATTACTTACATTCTCTTCGAATGGATGACGCTGATGTACCGTGTTGTTCCCGCGCATATTTATATCTCTCTATGTGTATGTGGATGGGGACTTGTCGCATCATTCCAGTGTCTAGCTACTTCTTTTTGGGGGCTACTTGTTCTCCGGGCGTTGCTCGGAATCACTGAGGCGGCTTTTGCCCCAGGTGTTCCGTTTTACCTGTCTTTGTTCTATCGCAGGCATGAGCTGGCTTTCCGTAATGGACTGTTTATCTCAGCGGCACCACTTGCGACATCTTTTGCTAGCAGCCTGGCCTACTTGATTGTCAAGTTCAGCAGTGACGGCCCCATCTCACCGTGGCGAACTCTGTTCCTCGTGGAGGGGTTCCCGAGCGTGATTGTTGCGGTATTTGCTTGGTTCCTGATTCCGGACTCCCCCGGTAAGGCTCGATTCCTGAGTTGTCGCCAGAGGGTAGTAGCTCAGCAGCGTGTCGAGGAGAGCACAGCGGACTATCATCAATCATATGGAAATCGATTTAATTGGAGAGAGATCTTGAAGACTGCAGCAGATCCTAAGGCTTATATGGCTGCCGTGAGTGTTATCTCTATTTAGGGTTTTACAAAGGTTCTAACACGTTTATCACAGTTTATGTTCTTTAGTTGTAACGTTGCTTTCAGCTCAATGCCTGTCTTCTTGCCCACTATCATTAAAGAGTATGTCCTGCACCGATATCCATTCTTAATCTCGATAGCCAACTTACGTCTCTGACAGCATGGGGTATTCCTCCTTACAATCCCAAGCCCTCTCAGCACCTCCCTATCTCGTCGCCTTCATTGTAGTCCTCCTCACCGCATACGCATCAGATCGCAGCCGTTCTCGAAGCTCATATTTGATAGCCCACGCCCTCATTTCATCACTCGCTTACTTAGCGATCGCAGCAACGGGCTATTTCCACTTACACCTGCCACAATGGCTTCACATATCCATCCGATACATCTGCGTCTACCCTGCTACAGCCGGGTTCTTCTCCGCAATCACCCTCATCATCACATGGTCAATGGATAACCGTGTTGAAAAGGAGGGCAAGGGTGCGAGCATTGCCATTCTCAATATCATCGGACAGTGTGGACCCCTACTCGGGACGAGACTGTATCCCGAGACTGATGGGCCGTGGTATGTTCGAGGCATGGCTACTTGCTCATTTTTCATGGTTGTTGTTGCCGTCTTGGCGGTAGGACTGCGGATTCTTTTACAGCGGATGAATCGGGCGGTTGCGGAAACAACTTATACTATCGTACAGGCTGGTCCTATTGATCAAGGTGAAGAGCGGGATGTGCTTATGGGTGGTGGGAGGAGGGATGATTTGGAACATTCTACTGGAGATAGAAGGCTTGTCTATATCATATAAATAGTTGATACAGTAAATAATAACCGCTTGAAGTTCCTTAGTTTGGCGAGGTAAATCTATTAGTGTTGTATTATAGCCCCCTCCTACTTATACATGTAATGCTTGGGAGTATAGTGCCTGTGTATGTATGTATGTAACGCAAGGATAGTTAACCTCTTACACAGTCTAATCATGTTTTTTTTGGTAGTCTTCTTGGATATTCTTTTTAGATGTCCTATTGTTAGATATTTTCTCCCAAGTTTTATAGCTACATAGAAAGATAAAACGGCAGAAGGCCAACGAACCTACAAACTCCAGCTTTTGCCACTCTGCCGTATTATTGCCCTAGAAAAGCCTATATGAAGTGATATATGAGGCTAGACAAGCATCAGAGAATGACGCCTACACAGAAGACGAGCGCCAACAGTGAGCCTAGCATCCCTCCCGGGGATGAGGGGGAATGCAAGAGTAAGAAATGAACCACAAAGACACTGATGAAGGCGAGGAATTCATAGTAGCAGAGTCTGTATATGGTGTATATTCCGCGTTTCTTGGTATCAAAGAAGCGCGGCAAAGGACGAATCGGCAATCTGCGACTCATTCCAGCCGACACACTTCCAGCAACTCAATAAATCTTTGGGGTCATATCTGTTCTTAATTGTCACCAGTTTCTCATAGTTATCACCCCACCACGCCTCGACCCAATTGGCCGTGAACGGGTTGGCCTCATTGCTATACGCACCACTGCCAGGGGTAATTCCCTCGATAACGGCCGTCATGTTCTGAATTGACTCAATTTTCTGTCTCCGAGAGGGAAGGGTAGCGTTCCACTCCCAGGAAGCGCCAGACCCCAACTCCCAGATAGCCTCACGCCAGGCGGGAGAAGCACTGGTCGATCCTTCGGTGTAGTTGTACAACACTGGCCCGACGACCGGGATGTAGGGAGTCTGGCCCAATGATTGGATAGTTGAGAAGTAATTCATGAGGTTCGTGCGGCCCTCAAGGGTCTTGAAGATGGAACGGGGGATCAGTCGACTTCCGGGAAAGCGAGTGACGCCGACAGCGACGGAGCTGGTCTTGACATATTTCTCGTAAAATGGGTACCAAGAAGTGAACTCTTCGATGGTGGCGGAGCCCCCGTTTGCTTTGGCGTAGGTGATTACGCTTGCCAGAGAGGCCTTGGCTTGATTGATGGAGAGGAAAGGAGAGATATTGACGAGGGTGTTACCGGTGATATGACCACCCCATCCTTCCTGTCCCCATTTGAGGGTGTTGTTAACGACGATCTCCATAAATGGAAGCATGTTGGTCGAGTTGCTGGGGAATTTGATGTTGGCAGCGACAAAGCGGATAGTAGGTTCCACATGGTGAGTGCTTTCGAGGACTACGCCAAAGGTTCCGCCACCACCACCGCGGAGGGCCCAGAAGAGGTCGGGGTTCTGGAATTCGTTGGCAGTACGGTACACCCCATCTGGGGTAACGACCTTGAACTCGAGGACACGGTCAACACCGAGACCGTACACGGGGCTCAAGATGGAATGGCCGCCGTTTTGTACCCAACCACCTGAGACACCGACGGTGGATGAATAGCCGCCGATTATAGTTACGTTGTTTTTATGTGCAAACTCGTACGCCTCGTCGAAGTTGACTCCGGCACCGACGGTGATAGCTTTATACCTGCGAGCGGTATTTTTGGAACCGCAGGGAGTGAAGTCTGGGTTATAGTGCATAGATCGCAGGTTTCGCGTCCAAAGGGATAACGTGTCACGGCCACTGCTGCGGGTGAGGTAATCATGGCCACTATTTTTGATGACGAGCTTTTTGCCGGAGCAGTTGGAGAACTTGAAAGCTCCAATCACATCCCTTGCACTCTGCACTTCAAGATAATGAGATGGTAGATTACCCTGTCGGCAGGTGGCATTCACAAACGCTAGAGGATCCATGGGATTGCTGCTGTCGAGGAGGCACTGATCACTAGGATCGGACGCCCACATCTCATCCTGGTTGTTCATGTAGCCATTGGGAGAATTCGTTCTTAGCCATGGATCCGCATAGTTCACCTGGATGGTAGTGCAGGCAGCATTGTCGCGAGCCACCGGTTTCCCATTATAGCTGGAGAAGCAGGGCAAGGAGAAAGGAGTGAGATACTGGACGCGTCCTCCAACTGTTGCATTGAAGTCATCCAGAGTGCATGCGCCCTTTCCAGTAACAGTAGAGCTCAGTAACCCCAGTAGGACCAGCCCCGATAACTTGGCCAACATTCTTGGGCCGAAGAGAAGAATGAGAATAGCAAAAAAGCAATACCAAGGTAGAAATATCAACTGAGCCAGGAATAAGACAGACTAAGACACACTAGGATTCACTAAGATTCACTAAGAAAAGGTACGCGAAACCCATTAAAGGTCTTAATTGCATAACTATATTACGCCGGTTTCGGTAAAAGATCACCGAAATATCTACTCCGTACATATTTAGCGGATAATTAGTTACATTCAAGCAATTAAATTCTATAATCAAGAAAGGAATATATTGTATAGTGAATATATAATGTGTGATTGATCCATCACTAGTCCTTTCTCCATACTGGAGTCGCTAAATAATTTTAGTGAAATAATGTATATATATAACCCGCCTTAACAATCCATGTAATGGCGATGTCTGTGAATAACTAACTTTGATAGGCAAAGCTGCTTTTCTTCTTCCATGGCTCTCTTTCATTTTGCCGCCCCTTATTCATTTCCAGTGTCCAGTGAAACAAGCTGACACGGAAGATCTTATGAGGGACTGTACCATCTTACTAAGGACGCTTCTCTGTCTTCGGAGAACTGTCACTCCAGGACCGAGGATAGTTGGAGGGATGGTTGAATAATCATACCTGTGCAGCGTCTATGGTCTGTTTGACAGTGTTTCATAGTGCCAATCCGGAAGGGCCAGGACTAAGAATCAAAAAGAAAGTGAGGGTTTGGGGGGCGGTGGGGGGCTGTCAATGTGGATTATGTAAAGACATTGAGTTTGGGGGTCAGTTGAGTATTGCCGAGGTGATTTATAGGATTTGAAAGGCTGAATTAAGGCTGACGGAAGCTTCGAAATGGAAACAGCTCATCTGAAATAGATGAAAGCAGCCCTTCTTGGAGCATTCCTCGCATACCAGGTTCTAGGTTGGAACATAACTTGAGATCAAAACACATCAATCCAACATTTCGTTGTGACCAACAGACACCGGGGTCAACATGGTGTTATCTCGCTCTAAAACTCAAGATCATTAAAGACAACCCGCATCATGGCACCCTCCAGCGGCAAGGGATCGATAATTTTCTCAACATATGCTGGCCAGTCGTCAATCCACTGCAGGAGGGGAAATATATGAGAGTATTCCCAGTACGAAGGATACCATCCAGCCGCTTCCCAGTCGACAAGGGCAGCTACTTCATACTCTTCTTCATTTGGGACAGAATTAACGACCTTTCGTACAAGAACATTCTCTCTGGAGAGATCCCCGTGGGTGAATATAGGTGGATGATTGCGAAGTGCCAATGGGAGGTGGCGAGCAAGATGGTCGGAGAGAAAGCTATGACAATTTGATTCGCTCCACATAGTTTTTGAGCGAAGTGCGATGGCTTTTCCAAATTCTTCTTCCGTCTGGAAAGGGCCGGTAACAGCAACGTTCTTTTCACGAGAAAAAAAAATATCTATGGGGAACGGGTCCTCTGTTGACGCTGCCATAAAACCCGGGCGATGGCAGCGCTCTCATCTGATCAAAGATGCATCGCAATTGTCCAACAATCAAATTTTTATTTGCCTCTGTGAGCGAAGACCACGCCATCCCTAGAGAAATGTTGGGGATGTATTCCATGACGATATACAGGATGTCCCGATCGCGGTACATGGCGTAGAGTCGTGGTGCTGCGATGTTGAGTCGTTTTTCAACAAAAATTAGAGCATATCCCTCATTTTCGGTCACAAGCGGGCCATATTTCACAACGTATTTGTCTCTGATTACGACCATGCGCCCACCGTAGTCTGATCTCTTAGGGAGGGTTTGTGTTGACCGTTCAATCTCATTTTGATCGGGAAGCGGCCCTGGTAATTGACCAGCATCCCGATAATAAGGAAGGGAGAAAGGCATGGTTGGATGGGCGACGTGTCAAAGAACAGAACAGTTGGCAAGTTAAGGATGCGCCCTACGAAGGTGTACACCTTTTTAGGCTACACTGAACCCCTGTTATAACGGACATATAACGAATACCCGATTTAAACGAGCTAAAACTGGTGCTTTATTTAAGAATTTTAGTAATAACGAATTTTTCTCTTTTCTACGAACTTCATTCATCATTCCCCCCATACAATTTTTTTTGTATTCAATTCAATGTATTCGTTTGAAAGAATACCATATTTATCACTCGTGGCATGCAGTAGCGTCCTTTCTCGGACTGGCATGGCAGGGTACGCTGTAACTACATAGGCATCCCCCAAGTCTACAGCAAAAAAAAAATATTTCACCGTACGCGAAACCCTACACCGGTTTAGGTAAAAGATCACTGAAATACTATATTCTACAGATCTGGATATGTTCAAGGAATTAAAATCTATAATCAAGTCTTGTGATTCCACTAATTCTACGGAGTAGTTGAAGTGATGACCTCAAGCCGAAGGTTAATCTTCTCAGTCCACCCGACCTCGGAAGGTATACACAAGAATTTCTATGATTACAGGGAAATATTCGCCCCTGTTCTTTGCTCAAACAGATTTCTATCTTTCACAATATGGCCCATGAGGTGAATACATATTGGAAAAATGTTCTCACTATCGTGCCTATTGTAGGGGCTGGTATGGCTACTATCATCTATCTGTTACGTCTCTATTGCAGACGAATGAAAGCTGTGAGTCTTCAACTGGAAGATTATCTAATGGGAGTTGGTCTAATCCTCTCCTATGGGGTTACAGCTTCTGTACTATTTAGTGAGTATTCCTCACGTCCATTCTTCGTAAGATATACTAACCATTAAAGCCGCCTTCAATGGTGTCGGCCTACCAATCAAGTCGCTCCCCAAATATGAGCGGAAGAATATTCAATTCGTATGTTATACTCATAATTAATTTGAAGAAAAATCTAACATTTTACACAGGGGACATGGATGATACAGAAGTTCTGGCCCCCATCAATGGCCTTTGTCAAGATCTCGATCGTCGTCTTTATCAAACAACTGTTTGGCTTGATCCGTGCATACGTTATTCTTTCTAACTGCCTGATTGGATTTATCGCCACGTGGGCTCTCGCTGGCCTGTTGGTTAATATCTTCCAATGCATACCGGTACAATACTACTACAATAAAGACCTTGAAGGACACTGTATGGGAGGACAAGTTCAATTCTTCCAAACCATGGGCTCGATCGCATTGATTGAAGATGTTGCCATTCTCTGCCTACCAATCCCTGTATTTTGGAAGTTACAGATCAACAATCGACAGAAAATAACATTAATCCTGGTGTTTTCCTTAGGTGGAGTGTGAGAAATCCCACCCCATAACATGATATATAGCTTCCTTCTGACGGATTGCAGTGTTTGTATCTTTAGTCTGATGCGCCTGATTGAATTCCGCCAATTCCAGGTCACTGACCTTGCGGGTTCGTTCTTATCCCAGTTCATACAATAATTCAAAACTGACATCATACAGTTTCAAGCGCCAAAGAGTCCATCTGGACTTGCCTCGAATTGGATGTGGCCGTGATTTGCGGGTGCCTCCCGTTTCTTAACCCACTCGTGAAAGGCGTCCGTAGCAAAGTGAGGAGTGATGCCTCAAAATATCATTCCCAGCCTTCTACTGGATCCAACTTCCATTCACACACGCGGGGAAACAAAGCTAATTCTCGAGAGCATCATAGTGGCTGTGGAGCAATAGTAAATTCAAATAGCCGCGAAGCTATGGTTGCAGCAAGTTGGCAGAGCTCAGATATCGAGAATAATAGGCAAAATGTGGACAGTGACATGAGTACATAGAGTAGATCCGGTGAATCTCAGAAGAAAATGAAGATTTCCCGAGTCGAATGGAACTTGACTGACCGCGAACAAAAGAATCATGTAGACGCTCTCTAGACTTGCGAAGTTCGGAGTAATAAAGCCATCGGATGAGAGACTGGCGGCTTTTTGGGGGGCATTATTTCGAGTATATCGGTAGCATAATTGCTCAGGCATCAACTGCGGCCTAAGGCCGTAACAACAGATATTATATTCGGAAACTTTTAAGCTAGGAAGTAGTAAGGATGGTCGTATTACTACTTTGCTAGGAACTATTAAATCTCCATTAGGCACAGCTTGTCGTCTCGGAGTGTGTGGTTTTGTCTGGTGATTTAGCGGGGACGAATGATGCTGAGGCCACCCACGACTGGTCCGATACTGAAGACTGGAGCGTTTTTGATATTCTCGTCTGTCTTTAGGTTTAGGCGGCCTAGCTTGGTTGCGTGGGTGCGGCCGATGAGGGGGATTCCTCGACGTGCTATGATAAAAAATGGGAGGCCAAATGCGAGTGCTCGTAGTAGTGCTGAGCTATCTTTCTACCGCTATCAGCCCAACACACGATATCCTGCTATCTGCAATTCGACTTTATATCAATCAACCATGCCTCCAGGTCGAGCACAGCGCTATTACAATAAGATATCCTCTACCTTTACAGCATGGAGACGGGCCGAGCGATTCTTTGGTACTGTGAGCCATGCGAACCAGGTCCGAGAATTCAATTCAACCTCTGATATAAAGCAAAATCAATACCTGTCCTTGCGAGTCCTCACTGTGACCAGACTCGATATGGACCAGGCAGAAATTGATGATCTAGGTCTGGGAGCGGCCTACACAGACGCAGCACAGTGGCTCGCAGGATTCACACCATATACAAATTACATCCAGTCAGTCCGTTTCAACGCACCAACCCCAACCTGGCATCCGGGGAATATAGCAAGTAATGATCTTGCGAATATGACGAGCAGCCGACTCCAACAGATCCAGGTCGTCCGAAACCTAGAAGAGGAACATGGAGACGACGAGGAGACAGTCAATTTGTCCGTTATTGAACATTTGACTGCAATCACGGCGCCACAGGGTCATCTGATTTTACTAATTTCAGACATCTCTTACTTTAGAATTCTCTCACTTCAGATACTTCTCAATTTAGTATATCGTTCTAGTATTTCATCCTTCACAATCCACTCTTAAGCCCACATAGCCTTGAACTTGCTATCAAACTCATTGTGCAGTTCTCTGAAGGCCTTGGCAACCAAGAGCATAGATTTGTGAGACTTGTCCACGGGCTTTTCTTGCGTAGTCTTGGAGAGCCCGTTGGTCGCATCTTTGGAAGCATCGGCGGCTTCATCCGCGCTTTCCTCCTCCTCCTCCTCATCCATCTCATCCTCCCAGCTATCCACCACAACCTTCTTCGCTTTGGGGCGAGAGGCGGGGACAGGGGCAGGAGGCATCGCCTCTGGTTTCACAGTCATCCTTCCAGCATTTTCAGCCTCAATCTGGTCAACGGCCTTATCATCCTGGAGATTCTCGTAATCATCACCTCCACCAGCAACGTCGAGCATGTCTGCACCGATATTGCCTCCAGGCTTGAGGAACCCTTCGATGCTAGTCTTGATAGTTGCCAAAGTCAACGAGAAGTCGTTCAACACAAACCAGATGTCTCCGCGACGAATGCGATTTGCAGTCTCCAACTGAGAAACATTTCCGTGTTTGAAGAAGTCATACAGGTATGCATTGAGAGGGACCGCGTTCTCGTTGGTGTCAACAGGCACATATGGAATGACGGAATCCTCAATCCAGACGCCACTGCGGACCATTTGGCTGAGCTCGAAGACAGTACTGCACTCGTCGCCATTTCCTGAAAGAGCGAAGAATGGGGAGACAATTGATGGGGAGATATGCTCGAAGTCCGAGAAACCGAGTTTCTCGGTTGAGCTTTCTCCGCCGCACTTAACCCCACTGAATGGTAGCGAACGTTCGGGTTCCTTGACATGCTGCTTGACAAAAGTGGAGACGTATCCAGTGTAGATATCCCGGACCTGTCTATTGTGGGCACGTAGAGCGGAAGCTGCTTTTCTCGGCAAAGGGGGAAGAGCCACGATCGAGGAGGGCTTCTTTTCTGCGCTCTGGAATCGTTCCAAGGTGGAGGATCGTAGGGGAATACGCCCGAAAAGGTGGGCCATGACCAGCATCAAAGTATGAACAGTCTTTTTCGGCTTCGTCTCTATGTCCTGACAGAGATCTTGGAGGTATCCAGAGTTCAGTAGGGAGTGGAAAGCAAAGCTAGAATTCTCCGTGTAGTACAGATGAGAGATACAGCCCGCAAAATTCAAGGCCATACCTGTACTGCTAAGAAGATTGTTTCGTCGGAGGTATTCAATGGAGAATCGGAGATGGTGGAGCACTGTTTGCTTCATCTCAGGGCCACCGAGATGGATTCGAGGACTCGAGAGTATAGAGTTGATTGATTTCACGGCAGATGGAGCCTGTTTTGAGCCGTGTAGCAAGATGAACAGCCGTAGAACTAGACTTGTTGTTATGGGGAAATGCCCATTAAGACTTGGGAGTCTTGAGCTCATCAGTCGTTGCACCTTGGATGGTGGAACATGCTGGAAAACAACATTTCCCAGTACATCAAATCCACGACGTCCTGCTCTTCCGGCGGCTTGTCGGAAATTCAGGGCTGTCAGGAAAATGGAATCGCCGGAAAAGACGACTGTCTTACAAGGCATGTTGATACCCAAGGCCAACGTGCCAGTAGCAATCACGACACGCAAAAAGCCTTTCCTAAAGAGGATCTCACAAACTTGACGGTACTTGCGATTCATACCAGCATGGTGGACACCAATTCCTCGCTCTAGGGCATCAATCAACCATTGAGGTACCGAGCGCCATTGCAGCTGCTTTGCATAGACATAAAACTCGGAAGCGGTGACTTTCTTGAAGTCGGCCAAATGGAATCCATCGACAGGTCTCTTCGGGTCAAAGAGATCAAGCCAGCCGAAATCAGCAGATGCTGACTCTTTAGCTTGCTCTGCCTTGGAAGTTGGCTCTTCGTCGGCGTTTCCACTTGTCTTCTTCTTGGCAACCCTTTCAAGCTTCTTCTTTGCTGAGTTCTTGGATGTCTTCCATGCCTCCCACTTGGCAATCTTCGATTTCCATACCGGGCTCTCTTCTTTCCATTTTGTCTCAGCGTTCAGTAGCTGTGACAACAGTTCTTGGCATATATCTTCACATCTACCGCGGTCGTAATTAAAGAAGAGCGCGGGAAGAGCATTCTGAGCGTGTAGTGAGGAGATCAAAGGAAGGGTTGTGTCGAGTAGGTTATCGTTCAGTGTTTCCGATAGGCCGTTCATCCGAGATACCTGTTTCGACAAGTCCATTTCTTTTTCTAATACGAACCCTGTTGGGTGGTCAAGATTGAGCAAAAGCGCCTCGAATGGGGATTCTCGGTCTTTCATCCACTCTCCCAACACCATTTTGAGTTGTCTCTGCCATTCTATGATGTGCACTTTTTTGATGACAATGTTCGAGAAAAATATGGACGGATCCAGAGATGGATCAACGGGGAACTGCTTTGTTTGAAGATCCTTCATCGCTTTCCACAAAGTGAAGCAGTCACGTGGCTCAAAGTCAAGATCATCTGGGATCGATCTGGAGCGGTCCAGCAGGCTGGTGACAGGATGCACGAATGTCATATCGTCTGCTGCATCTAGGCCTAAACGGGCCAAGCTAGGGGTATTGGAAAAGCCTTTGAACGAGAAGTCACCACTAGGCTCGTACACGTACTTTCGCAAATCTGAATAACGGTGCTGATGCTGGATCATCTTGAGGTCGAATCCATTGGTTTTCTGGGCAAGACCTAGCCACTTGTAGAATTCCTGGGGATTTCCGACGGTAGCTGAGAGGGCGATAATTGGGCATGGCGACATCAGAAGCAGTTGCTCCCAGACGACACCATCCTCAGCCTGGCCAATACAATGGATCTCATCAAAGATGATACGCCTCAAGCGGGGAGTCCATGCACTGGCGTTAGAGGGATTAAGCAGCATGATCTGCAGAATCTGAGGAACCGTGATGAGAATTTGGCATCCCTGGGGATTGTTGATACGATAGTCTCTTGTGTGGATGGCCCAAACGGACTTTCCACTAGTTTTGGCTGGGAATGACTTAGAAAATCGGGCTTGCACCTCGGCTGCGATCTGATTGACAAGAGCCTTTGTGGGGGCAACATAAACAAGAATTCCATCATTATCTTCTTTCAAGATCTGTCTCATCGCATAGAAGCTGATAAATGTTAGCATGACTCTGTATTGGGAGATATTGCGACTTACGAAATGAATGTTTTTCCTGCACTCGTTGGAGCGACGATGAATGCACTCTTCTTTGCATCGATCTGGTCCAACACTTCACGCTGCCAGCGATCGGGCGCAAAATCAGGCGTCCGGGAGTCGGGCACTGAGTCTATGCTGCGCTCCATGAAAGGTCCACCGTGTTTAAGCTGGAATTCAACTGGGCTCATCTCGATACTCATGCTAGGTGCTGATTTAGGGATCTTGAACGACGGGAAAGACAGTGGCTGTTCACTGTCGGCATGAAGCTGAGCAGCTGGCAAACCAAGAATTTGACAGACTGTCGAAACATATGCGACAATATCAGATGAGATGCCTTGCTTGATTTTCGCGAGAGAAGTGACGATCTCCCAAATACGTGTCACGATCAACATGTGCTTTTTACTCTGCACATTCGTGCGTTCGACAAAGAGAAGTCGAAGCAATGTATCGATCATGCAAGTCAAAATTTCAGGTTCCAAAACCTGTCGACTATCTTTGGGCAGACTAGTCAAGTATCCGTTGAGCCTTGTAAAACGAGTCACAAGATCGTCAATGAGAGCGAATTCGTCATTATACATGTTTTTCCACTTCTGTCTTTGCTTTTGGGTTACTTCCATTGCTTTTTGATGAACGAATGCTGCGGCAATCTCCTTGGTGGATGGTTTACCAGACTTAGAGTGAGACTTCTTGTCTGATTTCGAAGCCGCCGAGTGGGTTCCAATATCTCTGTTTGCCGAAGGGGTTTGGTGAGACTTCTGGCGTGAAGTACTGGAAGATTCAACAACGATCGGCTCCGGCTGTGATCCTGAGAGACTTGCAGCATAATCTCTCATCTCAGCCATGAAACGTTGGTTCCGTTTGTGGCTTCGCTCAACCTCTTGGGGCGTTAGAATGACTTTCTTTTGATCAAGGGGCCTCGAACTATGCCAATGGCTGTCTTCCTTGAACTCCTTGAAACTTTTGCCATCACTCTTCGCATCGACAGATTCATCGACTTCGAGATGAACAGGCTTCAAAATATTATCGAAGACTGCATTGCTAAATGGAAGCACCTTTTCAAAGCCATGGGGCTTGGAGATACTTCCATGAGTGGCGTCTTCAGAGCCAGCTCCTGCTTTCCCAGCCGTTTCACATTGCAGTGTTGTACCACAAATGCGGTCCAGCAGACACGCAAGGCTGTTGAACGGTGATAGTGTGGCCGATGAGATTAGGCTTTGGATACCCAATTTCTCGACCATCCGCTGGACTTCGAAAAACAATCTTCCATCTATGAGGTCAGAAAGATCGCAAGGTAAGTTGTGGTCCTTCACTACTTTTTCCCAAAGCTTCGAGCTGAGCAAAGACTTCGCTGTTTTCACAAATTCGTTAAAAAATTTCAAGTTTCTAGGTGCAGTGGTTTGGATCGATCGATCCGATAGTTGGGTATTTTGCAAAAGTACAATGTGCAAAAGCATAGACTGTGCTCCAATCTTGTTTTCGAGGTTGTCCGCAACGTCACCCAAAAGCATGGAGCTGAGTGTAACAACCACAAGACATTCGCGTTGCGACAGCCCAGGCTTCTCAAGAAGTGCCTGTTCGAGGATCTTGTCTGTTTCAGCCTGATTTGACTGTTCGTTGTTAACGGAGTCGTATTCAGGTGCATCCTCCGCTTGGTCTTGGCTGTCTTCAATTTTTAATTGGGAGAGCGAGTCCCACAGATGATTAGGATCAGTCTTGTTTTGACCAAGCTTTTTAGGATCGTCTGTTTCGGGGCTAGTCGGCAAGGGATTCGTTTTGATGGAGCTTTCAATAACCATTGCCATGACCTGCGTATATTGTCAGTATCGAGCCCAGTCTTCCGGGGGCTGAAAAAAAGCTACCTTTGTGTCACGGAACTCGAGAGTATTGATGAGAGCAAGGTTGTATCCGTGGACAACAAACCAGTAGATCATCGTGCGGAGCTTAAATCTTGAGATCTCGCCTCGATTATCGACAAAAGAATCTTTTTGGTCACCATCTTCGAAGTCGCTGCTGTCTGAATCACTTTCAGAATCGCTGCTGTCGACATCACTAGCAGTATCATCCTTGTGGTCGGAAAACGCGCCGTCATGACACATGAACAAGTATGCCCCCGAGCTTATCAGATGAGCTTTGAACTCATCAGACTGGAAGCTATCAAACCTCAAGGCTTGGAAGAATTGTGATGGTTGGACGCGAACAGAGACAAGATGTTGTATGATTGCCTCTCGGGCAAGGAGGTACCTTGGGTGAAAATCTCTGTGGACTCCTTTGGGAATACATAACGGGGCATTCTCTGCGAAAAAGACAAGCTCAAAGAAACACTTGCGCTGTTGAAGCTTTTGTAACAACTTCTCGGCAAGGTAGGTTGCATGCAAGACCTGGAAACCCGGGCTGAAGTCAAGTTTCTCGTTGGAAAAGCATTGGAGTAGAAGCGAATCTCCTTCGATTATGAAAAGCTCGTCACCAACAAAATCACCGACGAGGTCCACGACTCGAGAGTCTAGGTTATTGTACCTTATTCGATAATCAGTAAAAACGAGCTGGCTCCCAGAGTTAGAGAGCCAGTGCTCACCAGTCTAGTACAACATGGCGATCCATTATGTTCTCAATATTTCGAAAGTTCGATAGTTTGCCTAGGTGGCTAGATAGACTGTAAGTATCAAGACTAGAGTAACATTTGGTGACACCAATGTAAATCGGTTAAGCTAAGCTAAGAGAGCAAAGACAAGCACAGGGAGTAGAGGGTAAAGATAGAAGTCCGAGAAGAGCAGGGAAAATATGAAATGCAAACGGTCAAAAGGAGGGGCATCAAACAGGATATTTTTTTTTGCGCATGTGGTCATTCGATAGTTCAAGATCCATCAAATAGCTTACCTAGGATATTATGCAGTGTGACGAAACTCTTGACTCATTTCCTTCTATATTGTTGATGTAAAGACAGTCTCTAGAATAGTCTCGGATTTTTATTTTGGGGTTACAACAGTTGTGAAGGAATTTTGGGCAGAAAAAAGTCAATGACCGCCTTATCCAGTATACGATATACCATACTACATCAAATCGGAGTAGACATCCGGAATTTGTGAAATCTTTGAAATATTGGGATTCTGGATATGCAAGAAGATGTAGGAATAAGCTTTACATATTCTCTATGTAGCTCTTTTTTTGGGGGTTTTTTGGGGGTGGTTTTGGGGGTTTTTTTCTCCACATACTATTGGCTTGACCACATTTTATTTCTAAAATAATTGCTAATACCATAATCCTAGAATACTTCAATTTTTATATTGTCCTAATGAGAAGTTTATATCTATGAATCCGAGGTTGCTGCTTTATTAATCCCCAGAGAATTAGGGTTGAAAAAGGGAGATATATATATTCAGCTAGATGTTTGTCTAGGTTGAATGATTAAACGCATCCCCGCTGGTTTTTATGTATGAAAATGCCTTCTATTATAGATAGATGATTACAATTCCGACTATTGTTCAAGTTTCGGTGGGTGGCAAATTTTCTGCCAGTAATAAAAACCAATAGGAGCGAGGTCCCGAGTGGTGGTGGCTACCTATGCCCTACGATCTTCAACTAAACTCGTAAACTGTACAGGTATGCATCTAGCATCCGAAGCGAGATTCCCAAATCTCTGCTTATTTCACAGATTATATGACTTCCTTAGAGTAGTATTTACCCATCATATGGCCTAAGAATCAAATGAACCTTGGTGGATACCCTTATTGTACAAAATTCACAGCGCTAGTAGTATACATGTACCTTTCTTTGAACTTTTTTTGCCAGCTATATACATTTTTCCTATTCAAACTTGACTTTTGTGTAAATGTTTTGCCAGTTGATAATACCGCTTACCAAGCAGTGTGTCCTCCATCAATGAGCAGAGTACTTCCCGTCATGAAACTGCTCGCATCAGAGAGACAGAAAAGAGCTGTACCGCGGAACTCCTCCGGCATCGCCAAGCGACCAAGCATGTTCTCCGCTTCCCAAGTAGCCCTGGCAGCGGGATTTTGCCTGAATACCTCATCCACCATCGGGGTGATGATGTGCCCGGGGCACAAGCTGTTGACACGAATGCCATGACGACCCCATTCCATAGCTAGAGAACGACCCAACTGGATAACCGCCGCCTTAGACGAATTGTACACGGGCGAGGTCATGCCCTTGTTGGCAATTAGGCCACTCATACTGGCTACTAGTAGAATCGAGCCCGTCTGTTGGTATTTGAACATCTGGCGTGCAGCGGCGGTGGCTGAATTGAACACTCCAGTATAATTGATCGACATCACCTCATCTAAAGCCTGCTGGGAGTGCTCCAGTGCACTTTGGAGGTGGTTGATCCCAGCTGCGGCGATTAGACCGTCTAATCGCTCTTCTTGCGCTGCAATGGCTGCAAATGTGTTGTTGACTTCAATGTTGTTGCGTACATCGATGCGGATGTACTCCAAGCTACAGCCGTAGTCGCTCTTAGCCTTTTGCTGAGCAACGAGGAAGTCTGGATGTGGGGACTCGAGGCGGTCCAGGCAATACACTGATTATTCGACATTGCGTTAACATTCGTTCATTTTGATATCGGGGTGGGGTGGAGATCAGGGTGTAAGTACCTTTTGCCCCGGCCTCGATCAATGCTTCTGCCATTGACAGCCCCAACCCTCGTCCACCACCAGTGATAGCATATACGCGGCCCTCAAGATCAAATTCGCTAAAGCGATGGTTGTTGCGCAAAAGCTCTTTCGCAGGCAACTTTGATTGAATGTGATCCGGGCTGTGAGTTACATTGTGGATATCGTGAGGGTTAAACGAGCTCTTAGAAGGCGAGCACAAGCCGGCTGATGAGGAAAAGAGAGAGCGAGGAGCAGTGACAGCAACTCGAGCTAGTCGTGTACGACCGGGGGCCAATACTCGAGGAATGAAAGACATGGCCAAAGGACGGATCAGGGGTATATAAAGTAGAGGTATTGGAATGATATTAATGTCAATAGCTGTGAGATAAGAAGTACTGATGCAACCAAAGAGTTCACCATATCCCATCCATGGCGTCTGGGTGGTACCTTTATATTCCTCGAGAGCTGGAACGGCATTTCCTTAGAGAGCCTACCGAGAAGGATAACATCCTGCATAAATATTAACAAGAAAGATCTAATTCCAGTTGCGCGTGACCAGGTGGATAACTGCTTTCACTATCTCTCAAATGGACCCAGCACTTCGGTTGACCGAGAACATCCACAGTAAGGCCTAAGCTTACCACCGAAGCTCTGATTAGCTGTGGAGATGGGGTACTTCGAAGAAAGGGGGTCGCGCTACCATACAGAAGGAATATCGTGACCCTTGGGCTGAAGACGGTAAGACTTCGAGAGGAACTTCGATGGAATGGCCCACCTGGCGGGATTATGCACGATTGTCGATCACAATTGATAGTATGTGAGCGTGATTGGCTTAGAATCCGTTTCTTTGCTCCATGGCGATGCCCGGTCTTGTTCCGGGCCGAGAGGGGCTAGATAGTTAGGGGAATATTAGAAGATCCCGCGAAGCTGAAGCTCCCCGTGCAGATGCGGAATGCCGGCCCCAATGAGACACTCGGCATTAACGGCTAGGTGGAGGCGTAATATGTTTTCTATTTTCTTGCTTGACATTATTCCATGAATATTTCAAGACCTTCAAAGGCTCCAAATTCCACAGAAAAGTTGTGGGCAGTGCGATACCTCGTCTTCTCCTTTCTCGGCGTCCCGGGCCCCTTGGGACCCCCCAGGGGAACCCCCAGACCCTCCGAGTTCCACCTTAAATCCACTGGAACCCCATGGGCGTGCAGCTTGTCCAGTCCGGAGCTCTGATTTCTATTTTATTTTATTTTTAGGATGGGAGGAATGGACCACATGAGCTTAATCAAATCTCATACATTCAAGTCCGGGATTTCCTAATCCGGTAACCCTTTTTTACATCTCACACCGACTTCCATGCCCAAAGGACACTTGTGAAACAGCTCTGTGGAATACTCTATGCTTTACTCTGAATAAGACATTCGGGTCTTTCTTTTGCACTTGCTGTGATAATAGGCAAGGAACTATTTCTATCAATCTTTCTATATCGCTAGGAAAACATGTTGGAAAGCAGGTGCCACTACGGAGTACAATGTATGCACACCCGATATGCATGCCAATTCTACTCCATATGCCTTTTTGTGACTTGAGAAACCGAACTCGTTGTCGAGACCACCTTTCTAGACCCATTCCGCAAGCCCTACATTGTCATGTGCTTAAAATCCCGTTCCCATTATGGTGTAGGCAGCGGCTATCAAAGGATCGAAAGTGATCTCGAACGCCCTATGAGATGGTGTGCGTAGTAAAAAAATATATACGTACTTCGTACAGATAAGGTTTAATTTCCACCTTGCTGTTTTATAAGCCTTCATATTTTAAACGAACTTCAAACCTTGAACCTTAGGAGGTTCTGTTGCCCAAGACATTAGCTTTGTTATACCAAGATTGCTAAAACTGTGTTCTGTCACTCATGTCCTCGAATAGTGCAGACAATAACATGTTAGCAGCGACTATATTGTGGTTAACGATGAACAGCGCTGCAAGACCTAGGGTGAAATCTATAGTACTAAGTTGGATCATTGTCCTTCATTGGGGAGCCAGGTTAACAGGTCTATACGTCGCGGATGAGAACACCCCGGATGGGAATGTCTACATCAGCACTGCTATCATATATGCTATGTTCGATAATAGCAATACTGGTGATCTACGTGGCTCCTGGTTGCAAGATCGACGCAGAAGAGCTTAGAGCCTGGATGATCTGGACTTCATTGATAATTGCCTCATGGATCGCACCGGGGAGCACAGCGAGTGCTACACCGACAAGGCGGCCATTATTGATGTTGTCATGAATCCATATGCCCGTGCCCCTTGATGAGACAGTGGTTGAAATGCGAATCCACCCTCAGGGATTGAGATTGAGATCTAGATAGAATTCATTTATATATTTCTGTTAAAGAAATAAGCAACGCGATCTGCGAGGGCACAAAATGTACGCATTTCTTCTTTCTCGCTTCTCTTCCGCGGCTGATTTCTAAATGGGAAGTCCGGTGAGCGACACATCATGACCTCACCACGTAACAATGAATGTATCGATTTCGATTTCATGGAAAATAGCTTTTATGAAGACTACCACAAACAAATAGTGCAAGAAAACGAGGGAAACCCTCCGATCAATGCAATATTCCAACTCCTGTCAATTGTCCTAACCATCCGATGCCCTTGAGATAAAACGCCAATTTTTCGCTGGGAAGGTACTAGTAAACGAAGCACAACAAAAAAAAAACAAAGGACTGATTAGGGTTTATGAGCCGCTTCAGCCATCATGGCATACTTGCGAAACCAGCAGTAGACTCGGGTCTGAAGCCGCTGCTAAGACTGCCGAAATCTAGTTTCATGAGCAGACGATCCACGCCCGCTGCTTTGTGGGGCACGTAATGGCTAAAGCCGGGGCTCGTGCTGTCATCTTGGCGGGAATCAGGCCACATCTGACTGAAATTCGTTGCTAGTCCCTCTCTAGAACGACGATCATCAATGTCCCGCAGGTTCCCAACGAGATTCTTAATACCCGTCTCAACATCATTTCGAGTAGCGCGTAGCTCTTCCCATACCTCACCCTCTTCATGGGCATAATCTACCAAAGCGTCTTCCACACCTTCATCTGTTTCCAGATCCATGTTGCGTTGGATGATTTCCAGCCGGACCACAAGGGCGACAAAGCGGTCAATATTTGTGAGAAGCCCTCTCAGGGCGTTTGTGAAGGGTAGTTCGGTCAAAAAGAGGGATTGCACCAGAGACGACAAATGTCGACGGTGGGCAACCGTGAGAGCCTCGGGGTCGTGCCGTCCCATGGTCTGCTGGCCAGACTTAGAGGAGACTCCGATGGGCATCCGGCCAGGAGACACTGTCTTGGAACTCTGATGCGATTTAGAAGAGGATGCGGTTCCAGGCCGGGACCCAGGGGCTGCTGATGTTGTGGACGAAGAGCATCCTTCAATCCATTGGCGAAGGTGTTGCCACGACGCATTGACGACGTCTCCTTGGAAAAAGCCACCAATCTCGGAAAGCATAAACAGGCATGCACTGCCCGTGGCCCAGATATGGCGCATTTGGCGAACGCGGGCGTTATCTCTATTCCTTCTCGCCTTCAGCTTAGCTTGGCCAAAGATACTGCTGCTTCTGGGTGGTCCCCACGGTGTAGGGTAGTTTCGCCGCAACGGAGTTCGTTTCCAAAGATCTCCAAGCCGGATGTGAGCCCGCCGTATTCCCAGGAGATAAGAATGGATCTTAGAATATATGACAATATCAGAACTCAAGATGAATAGGTCAAGAGGAGCTCGGATATGTGCGCTGAGGTTTGTGGGTATGGGAAAGAGCAGATCTTCAAATGAGACCTTTGAGATTTCGGATATCGAATTGGGAGTTTGGGCAGGCGTCATCGGTCGGGCACTTTTGCGGCCACAGATGGACAGACAAAGAAGCTCCCGGGCAAGTTCTAGCTCTTCGTCGGCTGGATCCTCCTCTTTTTGTATTGAGAAAAGCTCTGCCAATGCTTCAGCTAGCGCAGCCGTGATATCACCTTCTTTGATAGTAAGAACGTCAAGTTTTCCTAGTGGACGGGTTGCTGATGAGCTTCGACGTCGGCTTTCCTCAATGCGGGAATCTGCATGTGATACAAGAGCCATTGCAAACTCTCCTCGTCCGAGTAAAAGGAAATTGTGAAGCAAGGTAAGAATTTCAAGGATTTTCGGGAGAGGCAACAATTTCGATAAGGTTGATTGAGAAAGGGAAAGACGGATGTAGTCAATGGCAGTAGTCAGTTTTGAAGGCGAAATTGGTGGTTTCAGGCCCGCAAGTTGCTCGATGTGCTCCCGATATAATGTCACCGGCGCAGTAGAGGTTCCGGCTATTGAAGTTTTCCGTTTCGCCCGAATATGATTGAGGGATTTGCCAATGAATAGTATTGAGCCGGCCGTTTGTGCCGTAACGAAATTTGGGAGCAATCGAGCGTTTACGCTGAATTGCGCCTCGTCATTCTCTGTTTCGGTATCCTCCTGGATAAAAAAGTCTTCCTTCCCGTAAATAGGAAGATTCCCATAAAGTAACCACATTGAAAGCTGTTTCATCCATGCTCTCTCAGCCGCTGCCGCCAATTGCATGGCCATCTCCTTGATATCAAGATATCCTGTTTGAGCTTCAGTTCGCAGATGGTCCATTAGCGCCGCTCCTGTGGAACCATGTAAACGCTCGGTGCTTTTCCTTTCAGGTTGAATGAACCTGATAACGGCCCAAAGCCACTCCATACGCCGCGTCCATGGTGCGAACTCCCCCACGATAGTCGACAATGGAACAATACCATATCCTCCGACATATCCACTGTCCTCGGCAAGAATCGCCCTTTCAACCTCCAGGATCTTCTTTTGGAATTCACCTAGATGTGTTCCAACAATAGCTGTAGAGACAGAGCGGCATATGACAGATGGGCTCGAAGAGGATATGTCGGAGGCATATTTCCGTAACTGCGCATGGAGTCGACTCAGATGGGCAACGGAGGCGAGGAGGGCTTTCTCCGGAGGCGAAAGAAGGGGAAAATCATCTTGAGTAACATCATTTTCCCCCTTTTGGGTATTGAAGAGGGGGGATGGCTGGCCGGAGAGGGAGAGTAGGATCTCATGGAGCATTCTGACGAGAGTTCCCTATCGGATATCAATCATAAGCTGGTGGTCATAGGCGTATATGGGGAAAACTCACCTAGAGAAATGTCTCTCAACTGGACAGTTCTTCCGCTGCCAGTATAATAGACCGCGCCCCACGAATTCAAAGCGACACATGTGAAGTAGAGTGTTTGACGACGCCAAGCTTCGCGTTGATGCCGAGACGCGTCAA